CCCAGTAACGTCTCCATTGGAGACTTTGTTGTTACTGTGCCTGGCATATTGAATACTCTCGGTAGCTTGCCGGGCTCTCCGAGAGGGGCGGAGGAATCGAACTCGGGTCGGCCATGTTGGCCGCTTGTAAGGCGAACGCCCTACCCGCTGTGCTATCGCTCCAGCCCTTCAGTATATTGATACAGAAAAAATTCACAGTACAGATAGTACATTGGGTAAAGCACTTGCCTTGCATGCATCTGATCCATGTATGATACTCACCACCAACATACAGCCCCTGAGTTCCACCAGGAGTAAAGTCCTGAGCACCACTGGGTATGCTCTGAAAACAGGCAAACCAAAAAAATTCTAATGATTGAAGATCAACAAAAGGACTCATAGAAACACTTTAGTTCAATGTATTTATTTCATAGTTGACAAAATTTTAAGGTCTTTGTCAGAAACTTCTGTCTCCCCTTGAAGCTTGATCATTCTAACACTTTTTAGCCATATAGAATAGAAATATGGGAAAAACCTGTTCTTTGGGAAACATTTGTCTAGAGAAGAATCATTTAAATAGTAGAAAGCATTTTCAAAACTCTGCTTTAAAATTATGTCAGATTTGCTTTATTAAGGATTAATTGTGTGAATGCATTGTTTGGTTTCCAAGCAAGATTGTAAATCAACATCACTTTCAGAACTTAAAATAAAATGTAACTAGATGACCGTATCCCCAAAAATACATGGATTGAACCTGCTTGTCAGTATGTTTTTTTTTTTTTGGAGGGGGGGGTCACACCCGGCAATGCTCAGGGACTACTTCTGGCTCTGCACTCAGGAGTCACTCCTGGCGGTGCTTGGGGGACCGTATGGGATGCTGGGAATCGAACCTGGGTTGGCTGCGTGCAAGGCAGAAGCCCTACCCTCTGTGCTATCGCTCCAGCCCCGTCAGTATCATTTTTAACTTACTTCATTAAATTCTTTTCACAGCATCTTTTAAATAGAAGATTCACAAAATTTTTCTTTATGATTAATTAAATGTGACCAGTTTTTCTAAGATGTGGGAAAACTTCCCAAATAGATGTTATCATAGATTAATTGTCTTCTTATCGTCCCCCAATACTGTGAGTCCTTTTCAGGCTCTGTCAGGAAATCAGAGAAACAGAAACCCACCCAGAGAGAGGATGGGGGTGAGGGGAGGGAGGTTAAGGGCAGGGGAAGAGAGGAAAGGGAAAGGGAAAGAAGGAGAGAGAATAAAAAAGAGGAAATTATAGACTGATATCCCTTGTGAACATAGATCTAAAAAAATAAATATCCTCACCAAAATAGTAGCAAATAGAGTCCTACAACACATCAAAAAGATAATATACCATGATTAAGTGGAATTCATCCCAGAAATGCAATTATGGTTAAATATACACAAGTCAATGAGTGTAATACACCGTATCAATATCAGTAGAAATAAAAATCGTATGATCATACCAATAGCTGTAGAGAAAGCATTTGATAAGCTCCAGCACCCCTTCATGTTAAAAACTGTAAGTAAAAACTGTAAGTAAAATGGGACTTGAAGAAACTTTACTCGGCATAGTTAAAGCCATTTACCACAAGTTCACAGTGAACATTTAGAACTAAAAGCCTTTCATAAAAAACTAAAAGCCTTTCTCTAAGATTAGGCACAATAAAAGATCCCTTTGTATTTATGAATAACATGCTGTGAAGAAAACTCTAAGGACAAAAAATTTCAAAAGCTTGTAAAATAGTAGATTGGTAACTTGCCACTCGGCAAGCTACAGAACATTCAAAAATCATGACTTTTCTATATTCAAACAGTGTAATAATAGAGAAATTTTTAAATTGCATATGCAGTTTTCCCTCAGAAAATCAAGTACCTACGTATCAGTTTAACAAAAAGGTGAGAGACCTATACAAAAAACCTATAAAACACTAGTGAAACAGATTAAAGAAGACACAAGTAAATGGAAATATTTCCCCTGTGCTAGATTGGGAGGATTGACAGTTGTCAAACTGGCAGTATTCCCCAAAGCATGATCGATTTGATTCAGTGCAGTTCCCTTAGAATGCCTATGGCATTTTTTAAAGAAATAGATCAAACACTCTTGAAATTCAAATGAAATAATAAACACTCCTTTTCCCCTAATAGCCAGTGCAATTTTAAGGAGAAAAAAGATGGGAGCCATTGATCTCCCTAACTTCAAACTGTGCTATAAAGCTGTAGTAGTTAAACATCATGGTACTGGAATATGGACAGACTTTTCAGATCAGTGAAATAAAATTGAAAACCCAAAGACAGATCCTCAGGTATATGGACAGTTAATCTTTGGTAAAGGGAAATAAAAGTATGAAGTGGAGCAAGGAAAACCTCTTCAGCAAGTGATGGCAGAAAATTATCAGCCACATGTCAAAAAAAAAAAGTGTACCGAGACTCTTTCTAAGGCCATGCACAAAAGTCAAATCAAAATGGGTCAAAGACCTCAGTATCAGCCCTGAATCTATAAGTTCACTGAGAAAAATTTAGGCAGAACACTCCATGATATTGAAGCTAGAGGAGGATCTGTAAAAGTCAATGCTATTAGCCAAGCAAACAGAAACATAGATAAGTAAATGGGACTTCATTAAATTAAGAAGACTTTGCATCTCAAAAGAAATGATAGCCAGCATACAAAGATGGCCCACAGACTGGGAGAAAATATTTGCCCACCACTTACCTGACTGGATTAATGTCTATGATGTAGAAATCACTGGTAGATCCTTACAAGAAAATCCTTCAACCCCTTTAAAACTTGGGGAGAAGGGATGATCAGAAACTTCCTCAAAGAAGACATATTCAAAAGGCATTTGGAAAAAAAAAATGTTCTACATCACTAATCATTAGGGAGATGCTAATTAAAATAACAGTGACAGGCACTCATTCAAAAGAACAACAGGTGCTGGTGTGGGAAGGAGGAGCAAGTGGGGAGGGGCCCTTATTCACTGTTGTTGGCAATGTCAGCTGATCAAGTAATGATTTTTGATAAACGATAAGGGCATTCATTAGTCTTTCATTTGACCCAGAGTATGCCCCAAGGGACGAAAGACACAAAGAATCTTTATTCCTATGTTTATTGAAACACTGTTCACAATAACCAAAATCTGGAAACAACCCAAATGCCCAAGACTAGGTGATTGGATACAGATTCCGTGGTACATCTACACAGTGGAATATTACTCAGGTGTAGTAAAAGATGAAATCATGCAATTTGCTGCTTTGTGATCATCAAAAGAGTATCATGCTGAGTGAAGTTTGTCAGATGAACACAGAATTTTCTCCCTCACCTGTGGGATATAAAGAAACATAGCTGGGGAAGAACAAATTACTACATGCAATAGAAACGAAGAACATGAAAAGCAGTCTTCAGTAGAAAGCTTGCCACTTGGTAGGGGATAGGATAAGAAAGGACAGGAAAAGAAAGAACAGCACGGGACAGTGGTGGAGGGCAGGGTTCACTCTGGAGGAGGGGTGCTGAAAGGTGGTAAAGTATTAAGCATGAAACTCAGTAACAATAATGTAAACCACAGTACCTAAAATTAACAAAGTGCCTATCATAGAAGCAGGCTGTTGGGGAGGACAATTGAGGACATTGGTAGAGGGCAGTGGATACTGGTAAAAAATTTTGCTGCTTTGCTCCTGCATCATTCTCTGCTGAAATCCAAGCACGTGTAATTTTGTAATTCATGCTGACTAAAATTTTTAAAAAGGACGTTGTGTGTGTGTGTGTGTGGAGGTACCTTATTAGGGCCAGGATCTAGGTGTGTTTGTATGTGTGTTTGTTTATTAAAATGCTTAAGTCCAGGTCCATAAGCGCACATCTCTCCTCTTGAAATGTGAACTTCATTATTTTAGGGTTCATTTACCTATTCTGGGGAAATGCCGCACATATCCTTGGTTGAAATTTGTACTTTGCTTTTCCCACTCTGGAGAAACACGTGTTCTCTCTTAAACGTGTATCTTTGTCTACTTCTCTCCTTCCCTTCCTTTATTTCCCAAATCAATTTGTTTTACATAAAAAAAAAATAAAATGTAAGGTCTAATATGCTGCAGTAGTATTACTTGTAAACTTTTCTATTTTTAGGAACCAGTAGAAAATTCTATTCCCTTGCCCTTTCTTGGCCAGTTAGAAATTTTTGCTGGTGACGTAAAAGATATTTTTCTTTATTGCTCTCTGCTGTGAATTTTCTGTGTTCCTGCTTGTATATGTTACTTTAAAAGAATTAATGTTTTTAGTTTATGTGACTTCCCTGAGAGTGCATTGGTGCCCGTTGTTGTAAGTTGGTTCCCATCACAGTTCTTAGAGACAGAAATGATAGGCCTTTTATGTTGTCCTTATCACATACAAAATATACATGTTTCTTGCTACAAGGCATAAGTGGGCACAATAGTCCAGTGTTGAATGTCAAAGATGAAACTATTGAATTAGTTATTGAGTCAGTCCTGTGTTCTGGTAGCTTTATACTAGATTCCTCATTTCTGTACCATTTCATTTGTTGAATTCTGAATTTAACAGGCAATCCATGTTTCTGAATTTAACAGGCAATTCTGAATTTAACAGGCAATCCATGTTTCCTGTGTTTCCAGCCCATCCATCCCACTTTGGGTACTGGGAGCTGTGTAGAGTCCTAAATCCAGATAAAATCAAATTCAGGCCTAGAATAGAGGTAGAAGGTCAGCAGAAGGCAGTGGAATTTGGGGCACAGTTTTGCTGGAATGAGAGTGATTCTTAAAAATACTGAGAGCTGGACAGCCTTGCATGCAGCCCACACTGGTTTAAACCTGTCACCACATGCTCTCTCCCAAGCACCACCAGGAATAAGCCCTGATACTGCCAGGTATGTCCAAAAAAAAGTCACTAACTTGTTTTTTGTCACATGGGTTCTTAAAAATGGTGGTATTCTGATTTGCTTATTGTCTGAAAATAGCCATATATTAATACAGAAATAATTTTTAATTGCTTTATTTCCAGAGCCTTGCAAAGGACCATCGCATGAAGCTAATGCAGCAACAACAAGAAGTGGCTGGACTTTCTAAACAGTTGGAACATGTCATGCATTTTTCTAAATGGGCAGTTTCCAGTGGCAGCAGTACAGCATTGCTCTATAGCAAGCGATTGGTAAGATAGGATGTGTAGGACATTTTCTTAAAATTAAAAATATAGCATAGTTGCATTGCATGTGGCTGACCCAGGTTCCCCCACCCACCCAATACCACATATGTTCCCTGGAGGCCCCAGAAATAAGCCATAAGCACCTCTGGGTGTGCCGCAAAATGAAAGGTTTTTGTTTGGGGGCAATACCCAGCAATGCTTAGGGACACATGAAAAACCATGCCGTTCCAGACCTTTTGTTTGCCAAGCATATGTGCTCAATCCCTTGAGCTATCTCTCTGGCCCCTAAATTTGCTTGTTTATTGGTTTGGGGGCCTGCGTTCAGGGCTCACTGCTGGCTCTGCACTCAATGATCACTCTTGGCTGGGTCAGGAATACATTTATATTGCTGGGGATGGAATCCAGTCAGACACATGCAAGGCAAGGGCTTGCCTTACTCACTGTAGCATGATACGATTATCTGATTTTTTTTTTTTATATATAGGAGTACTGCTATTTATTCAGCCACTGATTAACTGATTGAATTGGGCATGAACTCCACCTTATTTTTTTTTTTTCATAATTTTATTTATTTTTCTTCTTTATTTATTGAATCACTGTGGGTAAATTTACTAAGCTTTCAGGTTTAATTCTCGGTCATACAATGATCAAACACCTTTCCCTTCACCAGTACTCATTTTTCACCGCCAAGAACCCCAATATACCCCCCTCCCACCACTCCCATTGCCTGTGAGGCAGATGATTTCTACTTAACTCTTATCTACATTGATTACATTCAGTATTTCGACAAAAGATGCACCATTATTGTTTAGAATTCCTCCCCCCCTCTCCCCCCCAACAATCAGAATTGCTGAAGAGGCTTGTGAAATACTTTGTCTTCTATAGCTGGTTATGAGAATCATATAATGTATCGTGGCTGCACAGATTTTGAATTTCTGCAAAGAGCCAGATAATTACAAGATTGTTTTCTGTGCGTCTGATGTTATGGCTGTGCCGGAGAGCCACTCGTGGGGGGCAACTCGTGACCTTGGTAGGGCGTGAAGGACGAGCTGGTACCGCCTCCCTTCCCATGAGACTGCAGTTGCCCCGTCACCACCAGCTCATACCTGGCTTTCCTATAAGCCCTGGGGGGGCGGCGGGATGGCAGAAGAGAGCAACACTCTTTCCCTCCCAGGGAGGCATGGCGCCATAGTTTAACACATGGTCCATTCACTTTTCTGCTGCAAGCTGCCGGGCTCTGGATTAAGTCCTTTTGCCTCTGGAGCCATGGCCGTGCTGGAGAGCCGCATGTGGGGGGCAATTCATGACCTTGATAGGGCATGAAGGATGAGCCAGTACCGCCCCCCTTCCAATGAGACTGCAGTTGCCCCATCACCGCCAGCTCATACCTGGCTTTCCTATAAACTCTGAGTCGGCAGCCACCTTGTATACGGTCCAGATGCATTTCTACCAAAAACCACTGGGTTTCAAGATTTGTTTCTGAATCTCTGGGATCATGGCCATTAATCAGCTTGATCAGGAACCAGAGAGGCCACCTTTAGGTAGCGACTCGGGATCTCGCTGGGATGGGGAGGAAAGGGCCGGTTCCACCCCCATCTGGTGAAGTCCCGAGTGCCTTGTCACTGCAGGCCCAAACCTGACTCTGTCCAGTGGCCTCTGGAGGATGGTGGTCACTGGGCTGTCAAGGGGAACAGGCCAAGGCACAAAACCTATTCCCACCTGGAGTGGCCCAGCGCCAGTGACCTACTGCAGGAATAGGACGCATTTCTGCCAAAAGCCTTTGGGTTCCGAGATATGTTTCTGAGTCTCTGGGATCATGGCCATGAAGCAGTTCAATCAGGAACCAGAGAGGCCATGCCTCCAATTATATAGCTGAGCTGGAGGTGGTTTGTGGGTGTGTCTCCCACATGCCTAACTTTTGGCCGTTTACTTTCTTGGTAAGCTTTGTCCCAAGTTTTTGGGGTCTGACCAAAGGCACAGCAGCAGTTTTGAGGTATCTGAAAGTCTAACAGTGCCATCAGGCTGCTGATGCATTCGCCTCACAGGAACAGATTGTGGCAGCAATCATACCCCCACAATTATCTGATTTTTATCTTCCCTTGTGTTGATAATGATCTGTGACACTGAAGGATTTGCTCATATTGAACCATCCTTGCCTTCTTGTAATGGATTCCATTTGATTATGGCATATGATCCTATAAATATTGTTGAATTAAAATCCACTGAAGATTAAGGATTTTTGCATCTACGTTAATGAGGGGTTTTTGTTTGCAGTTTTGGGGGCAGGGAGGGTCTGGTCACACCTGGTGGTGCTCAGGAACTTGTGCTCAGGGGTCACTCTAGGGCAACACTCTGGGGACCATATGTGATGATGGAGATCAAACTGGGTCAGTCATGTGATGCAATCCACCTTAACCCTTGCACTATCTCAAGCTTCTGTAACTTCCTTTTTTTAGTAATATTTCTGTCTGCTTTTGTTGTTTGATATTTGTAGACCATATCATTGGGCTGGAGCAATAGCACAGTGGGTAGAACGTTTGCCTTGCATGCAGCCAACCCGGGTTCGATTCCTCTGTCCCTCTCGGAGAGCTGGGCAAGCTACCGAGAGTATCCCGCCTGCACGACAGAGCCCGGCAAGCTCCCTATGTCATTTTAGATGCCAAAAACAGTAACAGCAAGTCTCACAATGGAGACGTTACTGGTGCCCGTTCTAGTACATCAATGAACAATGGGAGGACATTGCTACAGTGCAACAGACCTTATCATAACTAACAAATGGTAGCAATTTGAGTTGTAAATTTTATCTTCTAACTTCAGCTATTATGCTCAAGTGATTTGTTAAAGCCGATTTTATTTCCATGAAGCACTGACATTTCTTATTTAATGGTTTTCCTGACAGGAATACCTATATTTCCAAACTAAAAATCATAATATACCCAAAGTCCTAAGCAGTTGTAGTTTGCCTAAAGGAGCAAAAACCAATTTTAAAAAAAATAAAACTCAACAAGAAACTGGGGAGATAGCTCAAAGGACTAGTGCTAGTGCTTTTGTAAACAGAAGGCCAGATTCCTGCTGAACACTGCATTGTCCTCTGAGCAGTGCTAGTAATGACCACTGAGCACCATCTGGTGTGGCAAACAAAGTAAACCGCAGACAGACATCAGGAGGCCCGGGAGTTGGACGGGGAGTTGGCTTACTGAGCTTTTCGTGTGGTAGCTGTGGATTTGTTTCCCAGCACTGCATGATCCTTCTAGAGCACTGCTGGGAGGGACCTCTTCATACAGAGGCAGTCAAAGCCTCTCCACTGAGGACCATTGGGTGTGGCTTCCAAAACCAATTTTCTTGACTTGATGGCATCAGCATGACAACAGTGGGGACTAGCTTGGGTACTGATCACCAGGGCAGAGGGCAGCAGTCAGAAATTATGAAGTGGTGAGTAAGAAGCATAGTGGTGGAGCTGTTTGCATTTTGGAGCATAGCAGCCAAGTGGGTGTTAATGTGGTAGGAAGAGGATTGAAGAGGGCAGTGTTTCCAAAACCCTGCTTCTACATGTTCTAGGTGTCTATTTGCAAAATATTTATTAGTCATAGAGGGCAAAAGTGGTGAGTTTTGTAAATCATAAGATTTTGAAGATTAATATCATTAATATAACCTCATGCCTACTGCCTGCTGTCATAGGAGTTTTTAAGAGACTGGTAAGGGGACCCAAAGAGATATACAAAGGATAAGGCACTTGCCTTGTATAAAGCAACCCTAGTTTGATCTCTGACAGTACTTAATGTCCTCTGAGCACAGCTGGTGTGACCCCAAAACAGAAAAGGACACTTAAAAAGAAAAGTTGATTTTTTTATAGCACATTTTGAAGTGAAAATTCTAATTAGAAGACAAAAAAATGAAAAGGACACTAAGTTAAACTATTAGTATTGTTGCTAAGCATTGTGCCTTGTGTTCTATAAGTTCCCAAATAAGTTAATATTTATTTACCAGAATTATTTTGTAGCTAAGATAATTTAACAGTTAACCCAAATTTATTTGTTCAGCCATCACTTTACTGTCTGCTATTTATCAGACAGTATTCTAAGCACTAAGGAGACAAGAAAGAGAATGAAATTTGTTTTCAATAAAGTCTCTTTGAGTAGAGATTCAGTACCCAAAACATAAAACATTTAGACTGTTACTTAAAATGTTCTTGGAAAAATTAAGGGCCAAGTCAAGAAGCATTTGGATAGAATCAGAATTTTCGTTAGGGATGTCTGCATAAAGAGGGTGATATTTGGGTCAGAATTATAGTATAGCTGGTAGGGTATTTGCCTTGCACGCGATTGACCTAGGTTCAAACCCTGGCATCCCATTATTGCCCGCCGAGTACCACCTGGAGTGATTCTTGAATGCAGAGCCAGGAGTAACCCCTGAGCAATGCCAGTGTGATCCAAAAATAAATAAATAAAAACATGTAAAAGCAAGCCAGAGAGAAATGGCGAGAGTATTTTGTCAGAGAACACAGCAAGTTGTAGGAGTTTGACTGTGAACAGCATGGAGGTTTGACTGGAGGTTGGAACAGTGAATGAACAGAGAGTAAGATGGGGAATTAGTTAGGTTAGAGGATAATAGAAAACCTATTGTCGAACCCATGTATCATTATAAGCACTTGGATTCTATTTGGAGTTAAATAGAAACCACTGGCTAGGGCTTAATGACAACATCTGACTTTTATTAACATAATCGCTCTGGTTGGTTAGAATAAAATCTTGGCAGTTATGGGCTAGAGAAAAGCAAGGAGTATCAGTTAGAACCTTGCAACAATGTAATAGCCTTTTCTAGGGCAGTAACAGTAGTCAGTAGAGCCAGTGGAAGAGCCAGTAGAATTTACTAGCTGGTTGAGTAGGGTGGGAGGCAAAGAATGGAGCCAAGGACTAAGAACAGGCATATAGTGTTACCTTTAATTGAGATGGGTAAGAGTGTAAACATACAGGATCAGGAGTTCCCTAGTAGAAGTTTTTCACTTTAGATGCCTATTAGACAACTAGCTATAGATGTTCAGTACATACTTGGAAAAAAGAGAGGTCCAAGATGAACTATACATTAAGAATCATTTAAACTGAGACTGGATGAGATCACTAAAAAATGTGTGGATTTAGAAGAGATTGCTATTAAATGTCCCCACGAGTTTCAGCATGTGGAGCTGTGAGAGAGTGCAAAGAATGATCGACAGAGCTAGTGCTGCAGTGCCAGCAAGAGGAAGGAGACACTAGGTTTTACTGGAAAGTTCAGTATCAGTTTGCATTGAAATCCAAAACTACTTTGACTCTCCCCCCAGAGTAGTAATAGGTAAAAGATGTGGAAAGACTTAAGATGGTGTGGTGCAAATAGATGTGTAAATGTTTCCAAGAGGCATAAGTGGCAACCTTCTTGAAAAGTTACTTGTATGTGTTGAAAAGAATGGAAGGATAAGAAAGGAATGGGAGGTAATAAATATAGATGTCCTAGAGAGAGCTGTACTGTAGGGCGCTTCCCTTGCACATGGCAGGCACAGGTTTCATCCCCGGCATCCCATATGGTTCCCTATGATTTCTGATTGCAGCACCAAGGGTAAGCAATGCTGGCGGTGGGGAGGAGGAAGGAAGAAAGCAGAGTTGATGATGGCAGGAGGAAAAAAGAACTGACACATTTGTTTTCAGCTGGGAAAAGTTAAAGCAAATCTATATGTTGATCCAGTGAAACGGAAAGCATAAAGAGTGGTGAAAATTGCTGAGCACTGTTCTTGTTTCTCTGAAGTAGTAAGCAAAGCCATCAGCTAGATTGAAAATGAAGGAGGAAAGTCTGGGAATTTAAAGAGAGTAAAGAGGTTCAGTAGTCATTTGCTGCATGTGGCAGAACACTCTTTCTACTCCACTGTCCTTCATCAGGACCTAAAGTCACCACAAAAATAGCCTCACTGACTAGACCATATGCTGTTGCCCTTCCACTTTCAGGATTGTTTGTGGCAGCATTGCCATATACCAGATCTCCAGAAGAAGGTTGTGCTTGATTGAACAATGCGGAATTTTCACCCATCTTTCCAAGAGTCTCTGCCTTCCTGAAACCCGTTTTTGCTCCCTTGCAGTAGTCAGCCTGCCTGTACTGCCTCGCTCTCACTTGTTCTCCAGGGTGATCTCCCTTCCCCTAAATAAGTAAACCTTGTCTGGGCTGTACCCCTAGGACAAGAACATTAGCAGCCTGATGGTGCCTTCAGGCTTCCTGATACCCCAGAATTGCTGTTGTGCTTCTGGCTGAACCCCCAACAACTCCGGACCAAGTTTCCCGAGAAATTAAATGGCCACAAGTCAGGTATGTGGGAGCCACACCCACAGGCCACCTCCAGCTCAGCTGTGTAAGCTCATTTATCGGTCTTGCTTCAGAGACCCATAAATAAATCGCAAAAGAGATCAAGTGCCTCAGTTAATCTCAATCTGCACGTGACTGAACAGGCCGGAGTAAATCAGAGGGCGATAAGTCAGCCTGGTGCCCACCCAAGTAGAGCCCCTGGCAGCCTATTGCTCCCACAATCCAAAATGGCCACCAGTCAGACTCCTCCATCTCAGGATGGACCTCACCAAGATGCAATCTGCTGAATATTTGGGTACGTGGGGTTTTTGACTGAAATCTCCAGGCTTTCTTGGAGTTGGAATGGGCTACCCGCCCCCACCTCCCTGTACTTTGAGAATCCTTGGCAGTCACATCCATACTCCAAAACTCTGCCACTCAATTCAAAAAAAGCTTCTCCATTCTTACCATCCTGATAAAACAACTGAATGCTCTAAACATACATGATGACCTCTTTGTGCCCATATTGCAAATCATAATTCACAAAGGAGAGAGAAAAAGAAAATTGCCTACCATAGAGGCAGGGTGGTGGGGGGTTTGGTGTTCGGGGATGGTAGGAGGGAAACAGGGGATATTGATGGGAAATGTACACTGGAGGGATGGGTGTTGGATCATTGTATAATTGAAACCCAAACATTAACAGCTTTGTAATGGTCTATCTCATGGATATTCAATAAGAAATTTTAAAAAATAAATAAACCAAAACCCTGTCTTGGAAGAGATAAGAACGTGGGGTTTATAATAGGTTTCTTAGATTTCAGCTAAGAAATAAACACAAATTGTCTCGATTCAACTATAACCAATAATATGGTTAGTTATATCTTAGATTCTTAACATGGTTTTCTATAATTTAACATGATTATATTGTGTTAGTATGCCTACCAGAGACTGTTTTGTATGTGTAAATTTCCTGGGCTCTCAGTGAATTGCTTGTCTGGTAAGGACACTGATGTTTCCTTGACTCTTTCCTTTCTTTAGATCACTTACCGGTTACGGCACCTACTTCGAGCAAGGTGTGATGCTTCGCCAGTGACCAACAACACCATCCAGTTTCACTGTGATCCTAGTTTCTGGGCTCAAAATATTCTCAATTTAGGTATGTAGTTTTGGACATTTTCTTTGGGGAACTCTTTGTGATTATGATATGGTCTTAAAAAACACATTCCTTGGGCTGGGGATGTGTCAGCAGTGTAGCATTTGTGTTGCACATGTGGGGCCCAGAGTTCAATACCAGTAGTTTTTTTTTTTTTAAGAAAGGTTTTCCCTTTACTCTAAAAGTATTTTCATTATTTTCTCTTAAGTACTTGTAATTTTCAGTAATGTTCATTAATGTGTCTCTATGTGCAATATGTGTAGATTTAAGTATAATATAAACATGGAAGATGTATAACATTCTTTATGTTGACTTGTGAGACTTGTGGGGCTTGGGAGTTTTTTCCATAATGTCTGACTGGTACTAAGTCAACTCTTAATTTATCAAAACTCATTGATAAAAGACTCTTGATTCCATGTAGGATTTTTGATATTTCGAGTATGTTTATTAAAATAGTATTTGTCATACTGTTACTGGTTTCTGTACTTTTTAGATCCAGTCATCAGTCACCAGATTGTTCATTTGCTTTTTTCTTGCCAGGGAAGACTTCATCTTCTTCTTCTGATTTTTAGTTAATAATTACATAAAATTTTTTTTAACTTTCTACGTGGTATATAACATGCATACAAAAAGTGCCCAAATCTTAACTTTTAAAGCTCACTGAATTATTACAAAGGGAGACTAGCAATTCAGTAACATTTATATCTAATAAAATAAAATATCCTTGTAGGGAGTATAGCAAGGAGTTATATGTTAGCTTTCTGCTGATAGTATCTGCTGAGCTTTTAAAAAAGGTATTTTTGCCTCCTTAATTTTTCACATAGAAACAAAAACTTAAAAAAAAAAAAGGAAGCAAAAACTTAAAATTCTCCCAAAATATTCTTTCCAACGATCAATCAGTATTCCCATTTAACATAGTATTTGAGGTCATTGACTTTGTTTCAGAATCATCAAATAGTTGCTCTCTTCTACCCTAGGCTACATTCTTGATAGAAAAGGAAGATGTGGATGGAAAGAGAGCAGTTGCTCTCAGAGAACACCAGGGAAGGAAAAGATAGGCTTACACAAATTTCGTCTGTTCAAGGGAAGAACAAAAAGAAACCTTAAAGAAAATCATAAAGAAAATGTGATTAAAGGATAATCCCTGCAGGTCAGTTTAGAAGCCCATAGCCATATGTTTATTGAGACATAATAGGAGGCCACTGGAGTCACACACTTTGCCCTGTACTACTGGGAAAAAACCCACTATTACAAAGCGTATAAACAACCTTTACCCAATACCCTACCCTGCTACTAGTGACATTGTCATATTATATCTTCACTCAATTAGTTGTACAGAGGAAGGTGTATTATAAACTAATATCGCTTAAAAAAATGTAGACCACTTGGTACAGAATGTGATTATGTACATACATAGATGGATATAATTTTAGATAAACAAATTTATAAAAGTAAATAAATATAAAAACATCTCCTTTTTTGTAAAAAGAGTTAACTAAAACTGGTAAAGTTAAACAATATCCTTTGTTCTCAGAGCTGTTGCTTAAACCCTGTAAATTGTCATTTACAGTGAGATTTTATATTTTTCAATTTTCCAAGAAGACAGGTTTTCCACACTTTATATATGACTTTCAAGAAACATAGAAGAATAAAGGTGAAACAGTGATATAGATGAATATTTGATTAATGTTTTGGTCACTGGGTAAGTTGTTCATTCTCTGAACTTAGATCCCCTATCTGTGAAAAATGATTTATAAAGATTGATTAACAGTACCCAACACAGTAAGTATTCATTGAGTTTTACCAATATATTCTTAAATAGAAATGCTTAGTAAATCAAACATTTCATTAGTTTTCTGTTAAAGAGACCAAAATTTTCCTTATATATGATTTAATCTGTTAAGAAGTTACCTTAAAACTGATAAAGATGTTTCAGGTTAAATTATTTTGTCAGAGAACTAACATTATGAAATTGTAAGGAACTTGAGAAACTGCAAATTGCTTACATTAATCAAAAATAAATAATGGGATTATTTTTAAAACCATTGTTAGGCTTTCTCATGTTTTATTTTACAGTAACTAGCAATTCTTAAATTATAGCTTGAAATACCTTCAGGGAACCAGACAGGCATCCCTTTTCCAACTGTGATCCAGTGTGTGGTCAAAATTTCTTTATAGATTTCAACTTAGTATGGTGTCAGTGCAAAGACAGATATAAGGGGTCGGAGAGATTGTATGGCAGGTAGGGTCCTACGTTGAAGGCAGTTAACTCGGGTTCAGTCTTCAGCACCCCAGTCATTCCACAAGCCCCACCAAGTGTGATCACTGAGCACAGAGCCAGGAAGTAAGCCCTGAGCACCACCAGGCATAGCCTAAAGAAAGGAAAGAAACAGAAACAAATATGAAAGTTCAGCTGTTATGCCAGACATTTAAAGAAATTTTTTAATGTAAAATGATGTCACTCTTCACTAAAATTTTGAATATTAGACATTTTTAATAAAAATTTTTTATTATGGGCATGTTTCCAAGTGATGAGGAAGGTTTTTTTAAATTCTCATTTTTAATTTCTAAAATGGTAAGTTTTGATAGAACCATAATAAAAGCTCTTTGGGGTGTTTTATATTTAAAAGAATATAGGGTTCCTCAGACCAAAAAGTTCTTGGTATTTCTGAAGTTCAGAAAAACTTTAGAACTTAATCTTTTCTCTTTAATTAGGTTCTTTAGTAATCGAAGATAAAGAGAGTCAGCCACAAATGCCTAAGCAGAATCCTGTCGTGGAACAGAATTCACAGCCACCAGGTGGTTTATCTTCAAACCAGTTATCCAAGTTTCCAACACAGATCAGCCTAGCTCAATTACGACTTCAGCATATGCAGCAACAGGTAATGGCTCAGAGGCAACAGGTGCAACGGAGGCCAGCACCTGTGGGTTTACCAAACCCTAGAATGCAGGGGCCCATCCAGCAACCTTCCATCTCTCATCAGGTAAATTTGGAAGCAGGCCTGTCCTAACTTAGATACTTATAGTACAGTTGTGTTCAGCAGCTCTTAAATAGCCAAGACATCCATCTTCTATAATAGAAATACATGAGCTCATAAAAATTTATCACATTCGTAATACCTGATATAACTCCTAGATTTTAGGCCTTCTCAAAAAGGATTAATGACTTATTAGTTGGTAGATCTGTTTTTCTCTTCTTTTTGTTATCTCCAAATTGTAACAGGATAAATAATTGCATTCCTATAGAAGTCATGCCTATGACTAATAAAAGTAACGTATCTGTATCAGAATAACCATCTTAGTACTTCAGAATAACCAATACACTAGCTAACTATTCTCTGTAGGAATTCACTCTCTTACACACACACACACACACACACACACACACACACACACAATAAATTTAGACATTACAACAAATAAAATAGAGGCAAAGGGTGTTTTGTTTTCCTTTTTTTTAACTTTCTTACCCAGTTTCATTTCTGAGCTGAAATCTCACGAATCATCATCATTTTCACTGATTGTGAAATATTTTGATTACTTTTCATTTCTAAAGATAAAAGATTAATACTTTCATTAGTTTAACATGGGCATACTTAGATTGAATAAAGATTTATTAAGGAGTATAAAGTTTTCATATAAGTTATCTGCTATCTTTAGGTTTTTTTTATATTTACTAGTTTATCATCTTGAATTGGTGAAACCATTATTTATGCTAATTGTTTTTTATTAAGAAATAAAGAACTAAGGCAGTTAATAGCTATTGTGTGGCTAGTAAATGTATATAGTTCTGTAAGCAAAGGCATACTGAAAGTTTAGTCAGTCATCTGGTCATTCAAAAATTTGCATTTTCATCTATACCTCTCCACTCAAGGATTTATATTTTATATAAAGTGTATAATCTCATAGAACCTAGTTTTCTCGTGTGTAATTTTTACATATTTTTTATATTTATGTACTGTTAATTTTTTTCAATGACCCTCTGACTTTTTTGTTTTCTGCCAGTATACACTCATGGTTTTCACTCATCAGTAAAAATGCTCTGCTCTCTTCTATAAACTTTTGCATTACCCTATTGTTCTCTAATCTTTGTTTTCTACCAGTTTATTTACAGGGGTGTGTGTGTGTGTGTGTGTGTGTGTGTGTGTGTGTGTGTGTGCGCGCGCGCGCGCGTGCACCTTTATGGAATGTATAAATTATTCTCGACTTTGGTCTGTAGAACGTAGGATGCTTCTAAAAATCACTCACACGATGGTTTACTATTTTCTTTTCCTCTGAAGATTGACCATGCAATCTGCATTATTATGGTGATGGAAACTAATTATATCACCAATTGATATAAACTTAATAAATGTTTTACATCATTATAAAAGTAACACTATTGTACTCCAATGGACAGATCTAAATTTGTTAGAGAAGGTTGATTATACATAATTCACAGTAATGGTTTTTACTTATGAGAAAAATTTACTTTTCTATATTCAAATGCATGTGTATATATTAATTTTCCTTAATAGTGGGGTGATGGTTTTAAAGACGCCTGGTGTCCTTCATGATTATACACAGTTGGGAGCCTAGAATAAAACCTATAATAATGTGGGGCTGGAGTGATAGTACAGCGGGTAGGGCGTTTGTTTTGCACGAGGCCAACCCAGGTTCGATTCCCAGCATCCCATTGGTCCCCCAAGCACCACCAGGAGTAATTCCTGAGTACATGAGCCAGGAGTAACCCCTGTGTGTCGTTGGGTGTGATCCAAAAAGCAAAACAAAACAAAAAAAAAACCCTATAATAATGAAAGGTGAAAATAAGGAGTTATTTATCAACTTCTTGTCCTTTTTTGTTTTGGGGCCACACCCAGCAGTACTCAGGGCTTACTCTGGCTCTTCACTCAGGGATTGCTCCTTGGTAGAGCTGGAAGACCATATGATGGCCAGGAATCAAACCTGGGTATTCCACATGAAAGGCAAGCACCTTAGCTGCTCTCTTATCCCTAAATGTTAGTTTTTCTGAAGCATTCAATTATTCTGTATTTGTTTACGCTTTTGCATCTTGCAGATTAATTAATACCTTATCACAGATTGCCATGAAATTAATCAACTCCAACAGTTCAAGGTGGGATGGGGAATCATCTTACACTTTACAAGTCTTTGAGCTTCTCAGTGGCAGCTGTTGACTACCACACTGATTGTCACATAGTACTTTCACATTAAGTTTTATTTCTTGACTGAATCAATTTATAAACTTCTGTCTGGACAGGAGTGAGATTGTGGTACAGAAAATCCCCTTCTATTAATACTTATATTTTCCCTTAAAGGTAATGCTATAAATACCTTTTTTGTAAACTGAAATTTTGTAATTTTGAAATTTTGTAAACTGAAAAAATCAGTTTACAAAAACAGTCTCTCCTAGGGATCCAAGAGAGAATTTAGCGACTAAGGTGCATGTCTTATATTCTGCAGATCCCTGTTTGACCTCTGACTCCACTGTTCCCCCAGTATTGCCAAGCACTGCCTGGGTAGCCCAGGAAACCTCTAGCACTATAGGACCCAAGTAGTACTGCATTGGTGGGCCCTTGCATTGAACCACTGGCCCCAGCTGACTAAGAATTATTGAGAGTGGCTCCCAGGCTTCCTGAATACCTCTTGGGAGACCCCTTTCACTGCCCCCCAAATCTCTTAGATAAATTGAGAAGTTTCCCACTGTTATCATCTCCCAAAGATTTTGTCTGTTTTTATGATACAAAGTCTTCCAAGTCTCAAAGCTTTTATAGAAGATTATAAAGAACTGTTGGATTCCAGGTCAATGCTTTGGTAAAATTTTGAGTTTTTCCACTAATAGCTGCCTGTTATTCACCCACAAGATTTTTCTTGGTCTTGACTGGTATATAAATCTCTTTTTAATTGGGCCTGTAATTGCCGGCTGAATTGTAAAAGGGAGTGGGGAGGAGGGGCATTTTACTGAAAATTAGAGTAAATTCCAAAACAGAAGAAGGAAAGATAGAGAGATCAGGGATATACTATATAGAGTTGTCTGTCTTCGTAGTTTCAGTTTTCATTGCTACTTAGTGTTATAAATGTCTTACTTGTAGCGCCCTCTTGAAATGTAGAGGGAAGTTTCCTGTCTGGAAAGTACTACATCATACACAATTAAGAGAGCTTGAAGTAATTTTGCAGTAAATTGCCAGAGGTCAAGAAAATTAGGTAGGGCCGTAGCGATAATACAGCAGTAGGGCGTTTTCCTTGCACATGGCTGACCCAGATTTGATCCCTGGCATCCCATATAGTCCCCTGCATGCAGAGCCAGGAGTAACCCTTGAGCTTAGCTGGGTGTGACCCAAAAAGCAAAAAAATAAAAAAGAAAGAAAGAAAAGAAAATAGGTAGCTGAGACTGTCATAAGGTTACCTTGTCTATAGCATTGGTCTCAATTTTCAGTGTTAGTATTTATGAGCAAAGTAGGCTTGCCATCTAAGCCCCATCCTGTAATCAACCATTGCTGCTTTGAATGGTTTCCTTTCTAACTCTGTTCTTTTGTAAGAAAGCTCATCCTCTTAAAAAGAAAAAAAGAAAGAAAACTCATCCTCTTTCATTGTAAATAGTACCAGAGTCAGCCACTATCTAAACTCAAACATGTTTTGATAGTGATAGGCATAGTGCATTTGGGTTAAAGTCTTAGAGGTACCCTCTACTTGATTCTTAGACTTTTTTTCAAATTATGTAAACTTTCCAGTGTTTTATTTCCTAAGCAATAATAGTAATAATAATAATGAGATGGTAGTAATGAGATAGGTAACATTTTTTTAAATAGTCATGATGAACGGTATGTAGTTTAATCCCAAAAGAAAACATTCATATTTAAATGTTACTAACATCAGCTATTTGTATTATTAATGACATGTACATGAAGAATGCAAACTTTGGAGCAGATAAGTTCAAATCCCAGCTTCATATTTTATTGCCTTTGTTATGCTTGGACAAATAATCAGCCTTAAGCTTCCTTATTTATGTCCATTAGAGAGAATTGCTAACTCATAGGATTGTTGTGATGATGGAATGAGTTTACACTTGTAGAATACTTCATGTAGCAGACATGCAATAACTACTCAGTAAATGAAAAAGAATTACTCTACCACCATGTGAATTATTTGAGAGCACAAAGCAGGCCATCAGAAACTTAGAAGATTTTCAAAGTCGAGCTTTACTTCCATTGCTGGCTCTGTTCTGGTACAAACTGCTTATGGCTGACAGTCCAGCTGCCAAGGCTCTCTGCTAACAAACTACTATCAATTCTTGAATTCTGTCCCTTTCCCCTTCATCTGTAAATGATTTATCACTGGCAGAGTTGATACCTTTGTAAACATTTACAAAATGAAGTTCTGTATAGTATGCCTTTCAGGTGATAATTGTTACTGAATTGGTTTATTTATTTTTTTCTCAGCAACCCCCTCCACGTTTGATAAATTTCCAAAATCACAGCCCCAAACCTAATGGACCAGTTCTTCCTCCTCATCCTCAGCAACTGAGATTTTCACCAAACCAGAATATGCCACGACAAGCAGTAAAGCCCAATCCCTTACAAATGGCTTTCTTGGCTCAACAAGCCATAAAACAGGTATATGTATGTGTGTAAATATGTATATGTATATATCTCCACTTCCTTTTCTCGGTTGCTTAACCTATTTCTTTCTAGCTCCATATGACATTGAAATTTTTTGTTGTTTTTCTTTGTTTTGGGGTCATACCTGGCGATCTTCATGGATGACTCCTGGTTCTGCACTCGGGAATTACTCCTGGTGGTGCTGAATCTTATCTAATATATACATTGCAGAGCTGTACAGAAATATAGTGCAAATATGTGTTAAGTACATGCATACAACACATTCTGTATACAAAAATGGGTACTTTCCCCCTTCTGTGCCCCCCCCATTAGTAGTTTTAAATGTCTTCCTTTTTTTTTTCTATTCAAAAATTAACACGAATGAATAATCTAGGAGAAAATATAATGGACATAGCTTAGTTTAACAAATTATTTTGCTATTGTGGGCATTAGTATAGTAGTTTATCACTTCTAAGTTACATTATGTGGGAAAAAGGTATTACTAAGTTTTTATAGGTATTCTTATTTTTGTGCTTATCTTTTTTTCAATCTCAATAAATAGAAAATAATGTGGAAAGAGACATCACCTCTGTTTTGGGGTAGAGGGAGCTGGGCAGCAGTGGCCCTGCAGGGTGGGTACGTGGGGAAGTTAGATTTCCCTTAACAGGATTCCTTGCATAGTTTTTCAGTAATGTATGTGAATAAGATATTTGAAAATTATGTCTTAGTTTGACTTTATGTAGTGTAGCACATGTATAAATGATACAGTATTGAGAAAAAATTTTCCTCTGCATAGTTTTAAGAGGCTTAAGTTGCTTACTTTTCTCCTACATTTTATTATTTAATTTTCAAGCATGACAGTTATATAGGGGAAAGATTTCTCCATTTGTGTTTCTCTTACTATCCGTATGCTCATTTAAATAGCCAGCCAGCCAACCTTTGTATTTTTTCATAGATATTGCAATCCATTGTACACAGTAGGGTTGGTTTATCTCTGCTTTTTGTTGTTGTTGGGGGAATCCCATGGGCGGTGGTGGTACTCAGGGCTTCCTCCTGTCTGTACTCAGGAACCAGTCCAGGTGGGCTGAGGTGACCATCTGGGGTGCTGGGGATCAAACCTTGTTCAGAAGGAAAGCACCCTATCACCTGTACTATCACTCCAGCCCTAGGATGGTTTATTTATGTATACCTTGGTGTTCTTCACATATTCTTGGTTAATCTGTTGTCTCAGCATGTAATGCAGTTTTCCTCATCTAACTGTTGATATGCAGAGCAAGTGCCTTACCCACTTGACTATTGCTCTGGCCCCTGAATGGTAGATTTCTTTATTACCATGTTAAATTCCTTGGTTAGTCCAATTCCCTCTTCATTTACAGTGTAATACTTCAGCCTCCATCTGTGCCTTGTATCCTTCAGAGCAAGATCTGTTTTACTTATTCTAGATAATAAATTTCCACAAGTTTTAATAGCTTAAAAAATACTGGAAAAGTGATAAAAAAAAATGTGCACATAGCAACCTCAGAGGTAAAGATCAAGGATTGAAAGCTTTTTCTTTTCAGACCTGATATAAAATGCAGTTCTCATAAAGGCAAAACAGAAAAGACAAAAAAAATATTTATTATCTTTGTATGGCTATGGATTCAGTAGGAAATGAACATGAGATTAATTTTTAATTTGTTACTATTATTAATTTTGGGGGCTACCTCAGTGTTTAGAGACTGTTCCTGGCTGTGCTCGTGAGTCACTTAGACTGGAAGTCAGCTGCATGCATAGCAGGCATCTTACCCTATACTTTCTCTCAGGTCTTAAGATTAAACATTTCTTTAAAACATTCACAGAAATAGTATAGAAGTTAGGGCGCTTGCCTTGCATGCCAACGACCCCAGTTCCAATCCATGTAGCACATACTGTCTTCTGAGCACCACCAGGGTGAGCGCTACTGGGGTCTGCCAAGTATGGCCCGCACTCTAAAGTCTCACTCTCCACCCCCACCAAAAAAGACTAGATCATGCTGTTTTCAGTCCCTGATTCTAATTCTCAAGCTCTAGAGGTTCTGCAAAATATGATTTGCATCTCTTTCCAATTATGCTAGCTTAGGTTTCATTTTATTATATTGACTTAAGTGTTTTGCTGTTTGTCCAACTGCCTTCCACTTTACAAAATGTGCTTTTGCCTTTATGAGCACTGCTTCTTAGTCAGGTATACTCAATGTAAAGGCCCTCCCGTTGATCGTCGATTTGCTCGAGCGGGCCCAGTAACGTCTCCATTGGAGACTTTGTTGTTACTGTGTCTGGCATATCGAATACTCTCGGTAGCTTGCCGGGCTCTCCGAGAGGGGCGGAGGAATCGAACTCGGGTCGGCCATGTTGGCCGCTTGTAAGGCGAACGCCCTACCCGCTGTGCTATAGGTAGTGGCAAAAGAAACAAGTTTTCAATCTTTCAAGTTAATTATATCTTTTCCAGAAATAAGAGCTTTTTAAAAATTGGGTCACATGGTTTTCTAGTATATATTTGTTGCCTTCTAGTTTAAAAACAAAAAAGTTCACTTTTTTAGATTCAGGTTAATGAAAATGATATATAAATCCTTACCTTCCTCCCCTACTTTTAAATTCAGATGACAAGTTTGTGTCTTCAGCTCCCGTCTTGTGCCCAACAGTGGGAGGTGGGCATTTTCCGCTAGCGGCCTGCTAATGAACGACCTTTCTTCTCCCCCTGCTCCTGCAGTGGCAGATCAGCAGTGGGCAAGGTGCCCCATCGGCTGCCAGCAGCACCTGCTCCACTCCTTCCAGTCCCACCGTCACTAGTGCAGCAGGCTATGACGGAAAGGCTTTTGGGTCACCGATGATTGACTTAAGCTCACCAGCGGGAGGGCCCTATAACCTCCCTTCTCTTCCGGACGTAAGTAGACACAAAACTTGTATGAAGTATCTCTTTCGAAATTGTGAATCTGGATGTGGATTATGTATGGAGCGTGTGTTTGCATGTTGAAGATATTTTTATCCTTAGAAATATAGTATGAAAAATGAAAGGTGATAACAATCCTCCAAGGCACTGCAGTTGGAGGTGTTTGTAAATAAGTCATTATGGGGATGAATCATGAGCCCTTGAGCAGCTGGGAAAGGAAGTAAAGACATGGGAGAATGGAATTTCTGGAAAGTGACCTATTAGAGCTGTGGAAGTCTAGGATATAAGAGATATGGATGAGTTTAATAAGTTATAGTGAAGTCATACTAACCAACTTGAGGTTGCCTCCAAATTGTTTTAGGTAAACATTTTTAACTCTAAATTTTAACGCATGGGACAGTGTGACTGGGGGCGGGGCCATGTGTGGGTCAGACCCCTCCCCACAGGGCCTTACTTAGACCTGGAAAGCATATATTCTGCCACTGCGCTCCAACCCCCTCAGTTTCCCCCCCCAAAGACAGAAAATGTAATGTTCTACAGACCTCCATACATTTTTGCTGTGTACAAGGTTATGCTATCATGCATACAAAAAAAATGTTAACTATCTTAGTACGGCTGGTGGGATGGAAGCTGTCCCCAACAGTGTTCAAGGACTCCCTGGACCTTTGATCTGCGACTTACTCCTGACAGTGCTCAGAACACTGTATGCGGCACCCAGGGATCAAACCTGGGCCTCAGGCATGCAGATCATACGCTCTAAGCCCATAGAGCAAACTCTGGCCAAAAAGTAAAGATAATTTTTTTTGTTTTTATCTATTTTTAAATTTATTATAATTAAGGTAATATAACTATATAGTGTTAACACAGTTAACACTATTAATATTAAGTATTCTGTTAACACAGAATATTTCAAGTATTCTTTTAATTTTTTTACTTCTTTTGCTTCCTTTTGAGCCACCCCTGACTCTGCTCAGGGCTTACTACTGACTCTGCTTAGGAATCACTCTTGGTAGGATGTGGGGGACCATCTGGTGTGCCAGGGATCAACCTTAGGTTGGCTTTATGCTAGGCAAGCCCCCTGCCTCCTTACTCTCTCTCCAGCCTCCTGCAGTGATTTTTGAACTGTCATTTACATTTCTGATATACACAGTTACCACACATCACCACCACCAAAGCACCAAGACCTACTCCCACCAATGCCCCAGTTTAGAAATGAAAAACTTTTCAGAACTGCGTAAGATTGTGGAAAAGTTTTGGCTTACAACTTCCAGTACATGGATGTTTGGAGTTGTCTTGTTTTGTTTTGGTTTTTTTTTTTTTAATTTTAATTGCTAAGTACAACTGTCACTGTCACTGTCCTCCCGTTTTTCATCGACTTGCTCGAGTGGGCCCAGTAATGTCTCCATTGGAGGCTTTGTTGTTACTGTGTTTGGCATATTGAATACATCACGAGTAGCTTGCCAGGCTCTGCCGTGCAGGCGAGATACTCTCTGTAGCTTTCCAGGCTCTCCGAGAGGGACGGAGGAATCGAACTCGGGTCGGCCGTGTTGGCTGCGTGCAAGGCAAACGCCCTATAGTGCTAAATATATTCAACCTTACTACAGTTACTTCGGTTAGACCTGGGGAGGTAGCTCACTGGGTTCCTTTTGCATGCAGGTGTACTGGGTTCTGGCCTTTGAATTGCTTGAATCCTACCAAGGGTAGCCCCTGAGTGGCCCCTGTATGGGGGCCCACCCCACCCCCCAAAAAACTTTCAATTTATATACTTGAGATAGAGCACATGTATTTTTCATTCCTCTGTGGTGTGTAGGGAAACCACTTTGTCTCATTTTCTGTACATTTATTTTAGCACTTAGGACTTGCACGGTGTGGACGTTTCTTCTCCACCAGTACTGGGTGGCCACCAAGACTATACCCAGCTAGCTATGCCTAGGGACCTTTTAGTGCTGGGGGGTCAAGCCCTTTCACCTGTCACTCCTCTTGCATTTAGGTAGATTTGATCCATGCTGCCTTGCATGCAGTCAACCCTGGTTCTTCCCTGGCACTACAAGGTGTGATCCCTGAGCACGGAGGCAGTAGTAAGCCCTGAGTATCACCAGATGTGGTCTAAAAGATAGAATTTTTTCAAGAATATCAAGGGGCCAACATCTAGAAGAACAAAAGCAACCGGTGTTGGCGTGGATGTGGGGAGAAAGGGACTCTCCTTCACTGCTGGTGGGAATGCCAACTGGTTCATCCCTTTTGGAAAACAGTCTGGACGCTTCTCAAAAAATTAGAAATTGAGCTCCCATTTGACCCAGCAATACCACTTCTGGGAATATACCCTGGAGATGCAAAAAAGTACAGTAGAAATGACATCTGCACTTACATGTTCATTGCAGCACTGTTTACAATAGCCAAAATCTGTAAAAAACCTGAGTGCCCGAGAACAAGTGACTGGTTAAAGAAACTGGTATATCTACACAATGGAATACTATGCAGCTGTTAGAAAAGATGTACTCTTGAAATTTGCGTATAGGTGGATCAGCATTGAAAGTATCATGTTAAGTGAAATGAGTCAGAAAGAGAGGGACAGACAGAGGAAGATTGCACTCATTTGTGGACTATAAAGTAACAGAATGGGAGACTAACACCCTAGAACAGTAGAGATAAGTACCAGGAGGATTACTCCACAGCTTAGAAGCCGGCCTCGTATGCTGAGAGGAAAGGCAGCTCAGATAGAGAAGGGACCACCAAGTAAAGGGTGTTTGGAGGGCCCACTTGGGATGGGAGATAAGGTCTGAAAGTAGACTATAGACCGAACGTGATGGCCACTCAATACCTCTATTGCAAACCACAACACCCAAAAGGAGAGAGAGTGCAAAAGGGAATGAATGCCCTGCCACAGAGGCGGGTTAGGGTGGAGGGGACAGAGAGGGGCGGTAGGAGGGATGTTGGGACCATTGGTGGTGGAAAATAGGCACTGGTGAAGGTATGGGCCATTGTATGACTGAAATGCAAGCACGAAAGTTGGTAAATCTGTAACTGTACCTCACAGTGATTAACTAATAAAACAAATTACAAAAAAAAAGAATATTAAGGGGCCAGATGCTTGACTTGCACATGAAAATGGAAACGATCCCTAAGATCGACTCAGGGAAATCGCTGCTGAGCACAGAGCAGACCTAGCCCCTGAGCACTGCTGGATATGTCCCCCAAATAACTACCACAGCCACAACAAGTGATATGATGCCAGATGATCCTGTCCTCTAAATTAAAGATGACTCACTTAAGAATAAAATTAGCCTCCTTGTTTTTTTGTGCTCCTCAGATGTAGATAACCCTTTGTTTTTTAACTTTCTCAGCTGAAATTTTTTGTATGGGCCACAGTATAAAGTAATTGATTTGAGGAATTATTCTCTCTGCCCTCTCGAGTGGTTTGTAGCTACTTCCATTTTGTTCACAAAGGAAAGAACTATACATTTATTTTTAGTAAATCCATGCCCAAGATTTTAGAATTTAATTCTTTTGTAAAATCCAGGTTAAAAAGTGCTGGATTTTTATTAGATAATTAAACTGAATTTTAATCAAAACAACATTCTTGGGATTTTAGTGTATTTAAGCATGAAGAATACTTGTATCTTAACAAGTTTTCTTCTTTAGAAATGTAATTATATTAGCCACACAAATTATGGAAGTATTATTTGTGTACCTTTTGCATTAAAGCAAGAATTTATAATGTACATAGGTGAAATCAGTGCTCTAGCAATATGTGTTACTTTTGTGTTTTGGTGTTTTATGGACTTGGTTCCTCTAATGAGAATACGGAGAGTGTCAGGTTTTAAAGTGGGCCAGAACATGCAAGGATCCCTTTAACTCTCAGTGTCCCTCCCTGGTGAGGTCATGTTTGCTCTTAATGTTCTTTAAACACAGGTACACATGACAACCCATTAGTGCAGAAATGAATATTAGAATCTGGTTGGACACCAGTCAACCACCTATTGAAAAGGTTTATAAAAATGTGAAATTGTTCTCACCACATATTTGGGGCGGTTGGAGGGTCGAGGGAAAGGCATGTTGGTCCACACCTGGCTCCAGTCTGGGTTCAATCCCAGTAGTGCAGGAGATCATGCAGGGCTAGGGATATAATCTGGGCCCCCTGCATGCAAAGTATGCACTTAACCCATTGAGCTATCTCTCTGGCCCCTGACCAAGTAACTTTTTTGTTTACTTTGTTTTCTGTTTGGGGACCACAGCCTGGCAGTGCTCAGGACTTACTCCCAGCTTCGTGCTCAGGGATCACTTATGGCAGGCTGAGGTAAACAGTATACATTGTGCTGTGGATTAAACCCAATCCTAGCAAGCACCCTGCCCATTGTGCTATCTCTCTGGCCCCACCACGTATCTTTTTTAATTGATCAATTTTTTATTTTAGAATTGTTGGTGGGGCAAGGTTGGCTTGTACTCTTGGGCCAGAAAAGGGGCCAGGTAGTTTAGGAATTGAGACAAAGGTCTCACAGATGTTAGCCACTTATGGCTCAATTTTGTTTGCTTCTTACTGTTTTTAAATAATTTTAAATTATGCAATGTTTTTTTAAAGTGTTTAAAATATTTTAAGCTGTAAGTGGCACGGATTTTCTTTTTCCAGGCTTCTGATTTCAGAAATAGTCTGTGTTTAGTGTGTTTATATTATGGATCGTTATAGGGCTGTTCATTATGTGTATATTGAAATTTCTCGAGTATGATGTTTGTATGTTTTATTATTTAAAAATAATTAAGCTTAGGAGAGGTTAGGGGCACATGCCTTATATGCACAGGAACCAAGTTTGGTTCCTAGTACCAGCAACCTCAAGTACTCCAGGTGTGACACCACTGGGTACAGTTAGCATTGAACTGCCTGTCCCAGTTGACCAGATGTCACGGAGAGTGCCCAGGGTCCCCTGAGCACTGTCTGAGAGGTTAAAAAAAATAGAAGTGTAACATTGAAAGCAGTTAAGCTATTAAAGTTTTCTTATCAATTGAATAGTTTTATATCAATTAAATATTTTATCAATTGAATAGTCCAGATGTCCTGAAATTTTTCTTTTTCCATAAGATTGACTGTTCAAGTACTATTATGCTGGACAATATTGTGAGGAAGGACACTAGTATAGATCATGGACAGCCAAGACCACCATCAAACAGAACTGTCCAGTCACCAAATTCATCAGTGCCATCTCCAGGTCTTGCAGGTAAAGTGAGCTTCTTTTGATTTTATGTCTGAAAATGTTTCCCAAATTTTCATTTATTTGTCATTTTCCTCCTTTTATCACCCCCTAACCTCACCCCCCATGTTACTGGATTAAAATGTCCAAGGGCCTGAAAGATGGATTAAGAAAGGAGTGGAAGATATGCATTCCATGCAAAAACCCCAGGTTTGAATCCCAGCATCACATGATCCCCTAAGAACCACAGGATGTGACTCCATGTTATCCCGGTAGAGGCCAAAACTTCAGAATAAATATTAAATAAATAAAATTGACTCTCAGGGCTAGAGGGATAGCACATTGGGTAGGGCATTTGGTTGGAATGTGGCCAACCCAGGTTCCATCCCTGGAATCCCTTATGGTACTCCAAGCACAACCAGGAGTAGTTCCTGAGTATAGAACTAGGAGTAAACTCTGAATATCACTGGGCGCGGCCCAAAATAAATGAATTAAATCTTTGCCACTATTTTTTTTATAATTTATTTATTTATTGAATCACTGTGGGAAAAGTTACAAAGCTTTCAGATTTAGGTCTCAGTCATGCACATATCAAACACATTTCCCGTTACCAGTATTTATTTTTTACCACGAAGAACCCCAATAAAACCCCACCTTCCACCCCTCCCAATACCTGTGAGGCAGATGAATTCTAGTTAACACTCTATCTACTTTGACTAGATTCATTGTTTCGATAAAAGATGCACCATTATTATTTAGAGTTTATCCCCCCCCCCCAATTAGACATGCTGAAAAAGCATTGTGAAATGATTTGCTTTCTACAGCTGGGTTCAAGAATTAAATGTTGTCACACGGCCGCCAGAGCGGCTGCGCAGTTTTGTATTTCTAGTATTTTACTTATTAACCCTGGAAGTATTTCTACTGAAAGTAAGATAATTAAGAGATTGGTTTCTGTGCTCTGGAGTCATGGCCGTGCCGGAGAGCCGCTCGTGGGGGGCAACTGGTGACCTCGGTAGGGCGTGAGGAACGGGCTGGAACACCCCCCTTCTCATGAGGTTTTCGTCGTCCCCACACCCCCGGCTCATACCTTACCTGCTCTCCACAAGGCTCCCATGTGGCCGCCATCTTTCTTTCCAGAGAGGAGAGCTTTGCCACTATTTAAAATTCGTTTATTTTTAAGTAGTGGAAACAAAGGTTCTAAGTATCTGTGTCTTTTGAAATTTAACAAAATTTGCAGATACTATATTACTCTTAGGAAATTAATATACTTTTGATAAATTAATATGCCTATGTGATTTCTTCTGAACATAATTTGACTTGGATAAAATTACTAATTGTAAACAAAGGTCATTTTTTTAAGTGGTTTAAATTTGGGTTTAAGAAATGTTTATAGACCCATTCACTTCCTCTGAAGGAAACAGTATGTAATACTAGTACTGGGCACCTTGACAAGATAGGTGCCTTATACCAGAATGACAAATGAGAATTTTTTTAAGTCATTTGCCAATGGTATAAATATAATATAGCCATTATTTATTTTAAAGGAGATGTTGGCGGGGCCAGAGTTCTAGTACAGCGGGTAGGGTGTTTTCCTTGCACGCAGCTGACCCAGGTTCAATCCCCTGCACCACATATGGTCCCCCGAGCACCACCAGGAGTAATTTCTGAGTGCAGAACCAAGAACCCCTGAGCATCGTTGGGTGTGACCCAAAAAGAAAAAAAAAAACAAATAAAGGAGATGTTGGGGATAGGCAGAAAGCTGTTTTTTTTTTTTTAAACATTCACAAAGTACAGACTGGCAGGACATCTTTAAATAAGGAAGGTACTCATATTGGTGAAGAATATGATGAGAAGGTAATTCCTTCAAGAGGAGGTTATGGCCAGTGAAAGGGGAGGAGGGGGGCAGGGTCGCACAAAGTAAGTCACTCTCACTAGTATTCATTAAAATAAAAAAAATCTAAAAGGGCAGAAGATACAGTACGGGGGTTATCTCCTAAGAAATGCTAGGAGTTTTGACATTATCTGGTACTGACTCTGTGCCAGGCACTTGACAGAGTACAAGTAGAATATTACCTAGTAGAAACATCTGTGTACCGTTGTGTAAAATGGATTCAACATTTTTTTTATTTTTTTTTATTATTAGTGAAACACCATGAGGTACAGTTGTAGATTTACAATTTTTTGTGCTTGGGTTTCAATTATACAGATTCAACATTTTAAGGTTGCTATTTAAAGGAAATCGTGAAAAAACTAAACAGAAAACATCTATCAAAGCATTATATGTAGTGGTTAAAAAACATATGCAAGAGTTGAAAATAATAAAACTGGGTAGAGATCATTCCAATTTAGCAATATATATATGTGGATAGACAAATTACCATTTTTATATTTTTCTATATTCTAAAATGAAATATTCATTGTAGGAGCTCTAGGAAGGAAATTTATGGGGACATTGGGGCCACAGTTCAGGGCTCACTCCTGGTAATGCTTCTGGTAGTGCTGAGGATCAGACCTGGGTCAGTCAGCTGTGTGCAAGGCCTTTACCCCTGTAGTATTTGCTTAGTCCATTTGTTTTTTAAATAAAATACTTCAGAGTTGACAAGCCAATGAAATGGATTTCTTGTTGTTCATTTCAAACTATATTCTCTTGGTTACTAAACTTATAGATTGTTTCACATTGAAATTTCTTTTCTGGGACCAAAGAGGTAGCTCAACAGACTAGAGTAAATGCTTTGCATGCAAGAAACTCATATTTGCTCCCTGTCACCATTCTGACAACTGCAAAGACCAACCAACAAGTTTGACCCAAAAAACAAAATTAAAGAAAAAAATTTTTTTCTCCTGTTTTCCACTTCTGTTGTATTACTGTCACTTTTTAATTTGACGAAGATTCAGTCCAAAATTATTACAGCTTTTTTTTTCCCTCGGCTTTCTCTGTTCTAGTTTTACTTCTTCTAATCTATGCTACCACTGGGGCATAACCAAACACATTTTCATCACAGCATTGTTGTACCTCTTAATGTACTACACATCAAAACCTCAGCCTGACCTTGAATATCTGCCATTCATTGTAATGGCTTTGTTTGATTCTTTGTTGACATTCTAGGGGCTAGTGTCTTCACTGAGATCCTCCCCTTGCTGCTTTGATGTCACTTGCCATTTTATAGTGTGTAGAGACAGTTTTGATTATCACAACAGTACTTCTACAGCGTGGATCAGGTCATCTGAAATATTTGTAGTGCTGAGGTTGAGCAGCCATACTAGGCTTGACTTTCCCTTCACCCCACTACCCCACATTCCATGGTATGCAAGGCAAATCCCAAGTATGCAAGGCATGTGCTTTACCACTAATCCGCTCCCCAGCCCAGTCCTTTTAGTCTTAATATGATATAACAGACTGTGTTGGAAATTCAGCAGCTACATATTCTTTAACACCTTTTCATTGTGTGTTGCCAATTTTAGTGTGGGGCTGTCCAAACATTCACAAATCACAATCACAAATCATCCTGTTAATCGTCGGTTGCCTCGAGCAGGCCCCAGTAACGTCTCCTTCACCCTAGCCCTGAGATTATATTCAAGGCTGTTTAGGAGAATGAGACCTATCATTGTTACTGGTATTTGGCATATTGGGTACGCCACGTGGAGTTTGCCAGACTCTGCCGTGTGGGCAGGCTACATTCGGTAGCCTGCCAGTTTGTCCAGACATTAAATAGGAATTAACTGTCATTATTTATTTCATAAGCATGTATATTTCTCCTTAGGACCTGTGACGATGACGAGTGTACACCCACCAATACGTTCACCTAGTGCCTCCAGTGTTGGGAGCCGAGGAAGGTAAAATGACAACCTTATTCTTGTGTATATGAAATAGCTAAGTAGATTTTTTTCCCCAATGATTTCTGTAAGCTTTTGGCACTCAGTACATTTTGAACAACTTTCTTTATTTTTAATTTTTTAATTAAATTATTAATTGGCCAAAGAGATAGTTACTTCAGAGGATCATAGTGCGTGTTTTGCATGCAGGAGCTCACAGATTCCAGCCCCAGCACTGCATGGTCCCCTGAGCATCTCCAGGAACAGCTCTCAGGTACTGCTGGTGTCCCCAAAAAACACAAAAATTTGTTAGCTTTTTGGGTCACACCCAGGGATGCTCAGGAGTTACCCTTGGCTCTACACCTAGGAATTAATCTGGAATTACTCCAGGCAGTGCGCAGGGATGAGATGTTGGGGATCAAACTTGGCTCTGTTGCATGCAAGGCAAATCCCCTACCCACTGTGTTATTGCTCTGGCCCCCAGAAATTCAGTTAATTAATGCTTTTCTTTAAAGATTGAAAAAAAAATTGTGTGTTAAAAATAAGAAAATATGATATTCCACCAAGCTCATTGAGGTTTCTCGGGAGTTCAAGATGCCGCTCTGCTTAACGTTCATTGATTTAAAGAAGGCCTTTGATTCTGTTGAGACAGAAGCGGTCATTGAAGCCCTAGCCAATCAGGGCATTCAAGCCCAATACATCAGGATCCTCCGTGAGCTCTATTGCGGATTCACTACCAGGATCTCACCATTCTACAAAGAAGTGATCGTTGATGTCAAGAGAGGGGTGCGGCAGGGTGATACCATTTCACCGAAACTCTTCAGTGCCACCCTCGAGAACATCATGCGACGACTGGAATGGGAAGGAATGGGAGTGAAGATAGATGGTCGGCAACTACACCACCTCCGCTTTGCTGATGACATTGTTTTAATAACACCAAACATCAGCCAAGCGGCACAAATGCTGGCCGACTTTGACCGTGAGTGTGGAAAGGTAGGACTACAGCTGAATCTTACGAAGACAATGTTTATGAGAAACAGCCTTGTTCCTGACGCCCCATTCGCTCTCAATGGAACGACCATCTCCGAATGCAACAGCTATGTGTACCTAGGTCGAGAGGTCAACATGAGAAATGACCTGGCACCCGAGCTGCGCAGGAGGAAGAGAGCGGCTTGGAACGCCTTCAAGAACGTCGAAGAAATAGCTAAGAGGACGAAGAACCTCCGGCTCCGGGCACATCTCTTTGATTCCACTGTTCTTCCTGCATTAACATATGCCTCAGAGACCTGGGCCCTACGCAAACAAGATGAGAACGCCATTCAGGTCTCCCAAAGAAGAATAGAAAGAGCTATGCTTGGAGTAACACGTTTCACTCAAATGAGAGAACGAATCCGGAGTTCTGACATCCGTCGACGATCAAGGATCAGGGACGCTGTCTCATATGCCAAGGTGTCGAAAATCAGATGGGCTGGTCACGTAATGAGATTTAAAGACGACCGTTGGACTAGAGCTGTTACTGATTGGATTCCACGGGATGTCAAGAGACCGCGTGGCCGCCCACCTACCAGATGGTCAGACTTCTTTGTCAAGATCATGAACGATCGGTTTGAGGCCCTCCATGTTCCCGGAGCGAAGAGATGCCATTGGGCTACACTAGCACGCGACAGGGACAAATGGAGACGTTACTGGCGCCCGCTCGAGCAAATCGACGACTAACGGGAAGTTAAGTGATTAAGTGATGATATTCCACTTTAGCATAAGATCTGTAGCACTGTAGCACTGTCCTCCCATTGTTCATTGATTTGCTCGAGCGGGCACCAAGTAATGTCTCCATTTTGAGACTTGTTGTTACTGTGTTTGGCATATCGAATACATCATGGGGAGCTTGCCAGGCTTTGCCGTGCGGTCGAGATACTCTTGGTAGCTTGCCGGGCTCTCCAAGAGGGGTGGGGGAATTGAACCCAGCTCGGCTGAGCCAGCCACATGTCAGGTAAACACCCTACCACTGTGTTATCGCTCCAGCCCAGCATAAGATCAAGAAAAACAAATGAAATAGGTGTAAGATAAGAACAGGTACAGAGACATTCATTGGGGAAAGAGACTAATTTTATGTTAATTTCAAACTTCTCTTTCTGTTCTTATAACCAAGCATTGATTCTGACATGAAATTTTTTTAAAATGTACTTTAGATGAAAATCTGTTTTGACTTGGTGTTTTTGCTTGTCCATTTAGTGTTAAATTGTGAAACTAATTCTTGCTATCTATTGCTAGGGTGGGAGTATTCTCTGAAGGTGGTAAAATTCCCTTTAATCTCCTGAGGAAATAAAGGCTACCAGTAAAATCTTTTTATCCCATACACGTTTTTGTTATATTTGGGGTTGGAGGGTTGGGGAAGGCGAGCATATCTAGCAGTGCTCAGGGGTTACTCCTGGTTCTGCACTCATGAGTCACTCCTGGCGGAGCTCACAGGACCTTCCGGGATGTTGGGGTCAGCAGCACTGTATCACTGTCATCCTGTTGTTCATCGATTGCCTCGAGCAGGCCCCAATAACGACTCCTTCATCCTAGCCCTGAGATTTTAAAAAGTTCCACATTCGAGGCTCTTTCAGGGTCAGGAGAATGAGACCCATCATTGTTACTGGGTTTTGGCATATTGAATATACCACAGGGTGTTTGCCAGACTCTGCCGTGTGGGGAGGATACTTTTGGTAGCCTGCCAGGTCCTTCAGAGTAAGAACTCGGGTCAGCAGCATGCAAGGCAAATGCCTTAAGCTCTGTTCTATTCCTCTGGCCCCTCAACCCCTTCACTGCTGTCAAACAAACACTGTCGTTCCCTTGTTCTTCGATTTGCTCAATCCGGCCCAGTAATGTCTCCATTTTGAGACTTGTTGTTACTTTGTTTGGCATATTGAATACATCACAGGTAGCTTGCCAGGCTTTGCCGTGCGGGCAATACTCTCTGTAGCTTGCTGCGCTGTCTGAGAGGGGCGGAGTAATTGAACCCGGCTTGGCAGGGCTGACTGTGCACAAGGCAAACACCCTACCTCTGTGCTATCCCTTCAGTGCTAAAATAGCAAAATACCAATAAATTACATTTATAGTTAATCATCTTCACTTTATGTGTGACATCCAGTCATTAATGTGAGTCCTGAGTTCTCTGTCACTGACTTCAGTAGGAAATGGGAAAGTTTTTTTTTTTTTAAGATGCTACATCTAAGGTACTCTGGCTGCCTACTTTTAGAACTGCATAATATTGAAGTTTATTTGGTTTAAATTTTGGTTTTATTTAACAACACCTTTCCAGATGCATGATAAAACTGTTAGATATGGATTAATATATAAAACATTTTTATACATGTGTGAAAGTTTTGTATGCAGCAATTGTGTTTCATCATTTCTTGCTTACAAAACATCATTATCATTGCTGTCAAACTATGGCATTACTCTGAAAGGGTTAAAGCTATTTTGAGATCCTTAGCATCTTTGGGTATTTTTTGTTTTTGTCTCCTTTCCTACAGTTCTGGCTCTTCCAGCAAACCAGCAGGAGCTGATTCCACACACAAAGTCCCAGTGGTCATGTTGGAGCCAATCCGAATAAAACAAGAAAACAGTGGACCACCTGAAAATTACGATTTCCCTGTTGTTATAGTGAAGCAGGAGTCAGATGAAGAATCTAGACCTCAAAATGTAAATATTGCTAGATCGTAACTATTCACTCCTGTTTCTATTGCAGTATTACTCCTATTTAATGTAAAGAGCTCATTTGAAGTTTAAAATTTAGGGCCAGGGCCACAGCAATAGTACAGCAGGGAGGGCATTTGTCTTGCATACTGCTGACTCAGGTTTGATCCCGAGCATTCCCTATAGTCCCCCAAGCCCACCAGAAGTGATTCCTGAGGGCAGAGGAGTAAGCCCTGAGCACAGCTTGGTATGACCCCTCCAGAAATTTTAAAGTCAGGGTATCACCTAAAAATTTTTTTTAAATGAGAATTAAAAGAAGCAAAGCCAAGTTCTCAGTATACCCCCCTACTATACCCTCCATAGGAATGTTACAAAGGGAGAAAGACAGTTTTGATAGTATCAGAAGCGCCTGGGTCTAGGGAGATAGCACTTGGTATTAGAGTGCGTGTCTTTCAGTTTCATGCCCAGTACCATGAACCCTAAGCACAGGTGACTGGTCCTGGAGAGCTCGAGCACTGCCCAGGAAGCTCTTCTTCCAAAACAGAAAGCATTTTATAACTTGCTGGTGATTGTAAAATATAAAGATGGGTGCCTACAGAAGTAATACATTCGAATACTTGTTGGATGAACTGTAAAATAAAAAGTTAAAATCTAGACATAGTGTATCCTATAGTTATGCGATTAATGTATTGTTGTAATTATGTAAACATGAGTTTACATGTAAACTAAAAAGTAGGTGGATATATTCAGGATACAACCTAAATAGGCATGTAACTAAAAAATGAATTTTTCAGGGGTCTTTAACCAGTACAATAATCTGAAGGTTTGGAATAGTCACTAGCCATAGTTATATTGATTCCTATCAACTGAGCAATCCAGCGCTTCAGTGATATGTTAGTGGTATTACATAGTGATATGTTAGTGGTATTACATGAATGGAAAATGCGCACGTGTGTGTATGTATGTGTGTGAGAGAGAGAGAGAGAGAGAGAGACGAGAGAGTGTATGTTGAGGGATTAGATTTAAGAAGAAAAAAGCAATTTTCTATAGTGTAGAATGTATAGGTTTGTCACTTTTTCCACTCTGGAGAAGTCTCTCTCATGAACACATATTCCACTTTTACTCTTCCCACGTTCAAGTGAGTTTCTTTTTTTTTTTTTTCATTCATCATCCTGTTATTCGTTGATTGCCTCGAGCAGGCCCCAGTAACGTCTCCTTCATCCTAGCCCTGAGATTATATTCAAGGCTCTTTAGAATGAGACCCATCATTGTTACTGGTATCTGGCATATTTGGTACGCCACGTGGAGTTTGCCAGACTCTGCCCTGTGGGCAGGCTACATTCGATAGCCTGCAAGTTTGTCCAAAGTAGGAATGAGATAATAAGATGTCATAAAAAGATGTCCTGATAAGATGTTGCGCGGCCGGGAATGCTGCCGGAGCCCTGGTCGGGGCAGGGAGGAAAGCTCAATCCGCTCCCCTCCAAGGGACCCCGGCGAGGAACAGCCAGGCGCAGGGGCAGGAGACTGCACTGGTCTCGTCCGGGAGCTGGATTTTATAATCTCTGAGTCTTGGCCAAGATGAGCCAAGACTCCTCCTCCAAGTGAGTTTCATTCAATAAAAACTACCTTGCTTCTCTTTTTTTAAAAAAAAGAAAGAAAAGAAAATATCTTTTAAATATCTTTTTTTAAAAAAAAAACCCAAGAGAAAAATAGTATATACTGTTATTTAGGAATATTAGAAGCAGCAGAAAAAGAACTATTGCTTCCAATCAATGTTTTCTTAGAAACTGCAGCTTTATTTTTTTTTAAGGTTTCTTTTAGCTACTGATTTTATTTAAATGTTGGTTTATTTTTTTTAATTTTTATTAGTGAAACACCCAACACCCATCCCTCCACCAGTGCCCATTTTCCATCACCACGGGTCCCAGTATCCCTCCCACCCCCCATCCCACCCTGCCTCTGTGGCAGGGCATTCCCTTTTGTTCTCTCTCTCCTTTTGGGTGTTGTGGTTTGCCAAAGAGGCATTGAGTGGCAATCATGTTTGGTCTGTAGTCTACTTTCAGCATGCTTCTCCCATCCTATCTGAGCTCCCTTTTCCCCTAGAATGTGTGGCTGGCCTCCAATTGCAGCTTTAAACAAAGTTGATGTAACAAAGGTAATTCAAAAATAGATTAATTGGTATTACAAAAGTCAATTGGCATATAGATTGATTGGTATATACAAAATTAATTGGTATGTGCAATAGTACCATTGCTCTATTTCTGACCACAAAAACATCACCAAATGTTTAAAAAACTTTTTTTTGTTTGTTTTTTTTGGGTCATATCCAGCAATGCTCAGGGTTTATTCTTGGTTCTCCATTCAGAAATTACTCCTGGTGGTGCTCAGGGGACCATATGGGATGCTGAGGATTGAACGCAGGTTGGCCACGTGCAAGGCAAATGCCTTCCCCGCTGTACTATTGCTCCACTGCCCCAAAATGTTTAAATAAATGCCCAAATACTTCTCCCCCTCTACCCCTTCCCACGCTCCAGGACCAACAAGCTGTCAGAATCTCCTCAAGCTCAGGCCTTAGTACCAGGAATAAGTTCAAAGCTTCAAATTTACCCTGGATGCTTTTAAAGCCACCAACTGACTACCAAGCCCCCTTGACACTTGAATATTAAGCAGTCACTTGGGCCCATTTATGTTTCAACCTGTTTGATCCAGTTTAGTATCGGTGGTAGCCAGAACTTATCCCAGCATTTTGGGGTATAAGATGGGAACTCACCCTGGACATCTTTCTGTCACTGAGCATATCAAACAGTTCACTGTGACTGGAACATTGTAGACAGGCCTATGGATTTCATATCCTCTGTTCATGTGGAAGGAAACCAATTCCTGGAGAAATTGCAGATACGGGGAAACGTATCAGACTGCTTTAAAATTTCTGACATCTTGGTCTCCAGTATAAAATTTAAATTCCTAGGCATGTAAAGCTCCTATGAATAAAATCAGTACACTTTTCTACAAGTGATGTAAAAACCTTGCAAAATCATTTTTAGGGTCTAGGAACTAAAATTTGTGTGGTTGACTTTGATACTACCTATCTGATCTTTTATTTGTTTATTTATTGTTTCAATGAGTTTACCTTACCCAGAGGTGCCCAAGGCCTACTTTACAACTTCAGTGCTTCTCAAGGACCGATCAGTGCCAGGGATTGAGCCCTGGCCTCCTCCTTGCAGAGCCTGCGCTCTAGCCCCTTGAGCCATCTCACTGACCCCCTCCCAGTTCTGTCGCTCTTGCCAGGTTCAGATTTCCTCTACCATCCCCATTGCTGTCTTCAGCTTGTTGATGGTAGTTTTCAGCAGACTGAGGTTTATGTCTGCTTTACCTGTAGCAACTCAGTAAGAGCAGTAAACATAATGTTCTCAAACACATTCAAAGACTTCTTTTTAAAGCAGCCAGATAGATGCCCATGAAAAAGCAGTCTACAGACCAAGATTGTAGTTGTATTGCCGTAATAAATATGTAAGTGAATAAGAAATAGTAAACTATAAAACTCTTCCCTTGCAGACCAGCTATCCAAGAAGTATACTCACCTCCCTCCTCCTAAATAGCAATCAGAACTCGGCCTCTGATGAATCCGTCCTGAGATCAGATGCACCTGACAGCACAGGAGATCAGCCTGGACTTCACCAGGAAAATTCCTCGAATGGAAAGCCTGAGTGGTTGGCTGCCTCTCAGAAGTCCCCCCTTCATGGGGAGACGAGGAAAGAGGATGACCCCAATGAGGACTGGTGTGCAGTGTGTCAGAATGGAGGGGAGCTCCTATGCTGTGAAAAGTGTCCCAAAGTATTCCATCTTTCTTGTCATGTGCCTACTTTGGCAAATTTTCCAAGGTATGATAAATACTGCTTCCCTCTCTCACGTTCTTTCACTATAAATAACAGCATTTTTTTTAAATCACCACTGTAATATAAAACCTTTGCAAAAACCTAACAGTCTGCTTGGCAGAAGTGCATACTTCAAAACCTTCAACATAGAGTTCATCTCATATCCTTGAGATGATTCTGATTGTATGGCGCTCTTAGTTCTTTAATGACTGTCGTTTTTAAGTTAAGAGTACCAAAGGTGTGTTGTTGTTTTTTTTTTCCTGAATCATCATGGAAAGATGTGAAGCTTGCCTCATCACATAGATTAATGTGTATTTTTATCTAGAGGAGACATGAAATACATAGATGAAATGGACACTTTTTATTAGTATTTACCACTTCTGCCCTTTATATTTTCTTTTGTAAGTTCTCGGCATGGTGCCTTATAGGCCACTGGTACTCAGTGATTAAGTACTCGGTGATTAAAATTCACTTTAAATATTCTACATGAGATCTAAAAGAGAAGTACTTGGTAAAAAGAAATAAAACACATTGGGAACTCAGAAGTATTTTATCCCCCAACAGTGGAGAGTGGATATGCACTTTCTGTCGCGACTTATCTAAACCAGAAGTTGAATATGATTGTGATGCTCCTAGTCACAACTCAGAAAAAAAGAAAAATGAAGGTCTTACTAAGTTAACACCAATAGATAAAAGGGTAAGTTGTGTGCATAAGTGTGAATTTTTTTTCCTGTTTTCTAGTTTGTTTTTCTATTACTAGATGCATTGCACACCTCTCTATGACAAAAGATGAAGTAAAATATCTTGAGTAAATTATTAAGTGACTAATGGAACTTTACATGCAATAAGGGACTCGAGCATATCCTCACAATCTCAGTATTTACTGGGGTCAATCCCTAAGCACAAAATGAGAACATGATTGGACCATTAGATTTCATAGGAAAGGTCTTTTAAAGACTTGACATGAGTTTTTAGTGCTATTGCTTCCCCCCCTTAATTTCAAGAATATGCTGTTACATCACATACAACTGTGAATATAATATAATGAATGATTATATGCATCAAAACTAAATAGTGATTTTCTTGTAAAAATTAGTTTTTCTAATTTTGTTCTACTTTGACTCTTAGAACAGTATTAAATGAGCTACAAGTTCCATTATCTTACTACATTCTTTATCTTTTTGTTTAGAAGTGTGAACGCCTACTTCTATTTCTTTATTGTCATGAAATGAGCCTGGCTTTTCAAGACCCAGTTCCACTAACTGTAAGTATGTATTAATGTCATTTTGTGCATTTTTTTTCTTTTTTTTTTCTTTTTTTTTTTTTTTTATTAGTGAAGCACCATGAGGTACAGTTGTAGATTTACAAATCTTTGTGCCTGAGTTTCGGTCATACAATGATCAAATACCCATCCCTCCACCAGTACCCATTTCCCCCCACCCCCCCTCCCACCCTGCCTCTGTGGCAGGGCATTCCCCTTTGTTCTCTCTCTCCTTTTGGGTGCCGTGGTCTGCAAAAGAGGCACTGAGTGGCAATCATGTTCAGTCCATAGCCTACTTTCAACATGCATTTCCCCTCCTGGGAGGATCCTCCAAACACAGATAATTTTTATGCCTGTGTTTTAGGTATATATTTCTAAGCTATTAGTAAAACTTTACATTTGACATAAAGCACCTCGCAGTTCTCTGTACCTATTTTTTATTTCCTGGTCCCAGCCAGCAGTTAGTAGACTTTAATAATAGAGGAAGGCGAGGTGGGGAGAAGGTTGGGGCTGCATAGATCATGCCTCATACACACACATTATGAAAGTCTGACGCGACTTCGTTGAGTAACTTTGGAGTTACTAGAGAGGGTCTTCTCAATACATTCCGTTCTCTGACAGCTGAAATTTCTTTACAATTCTAAAGATTTATTCTAGTATGATAATGTGATAAATTTTAATATTGAATGCGAGATTAGAAGAAAATGGCTTTAGTAAATATTGATAAATACCATTTTCTTGAGACCATATTTTGAAAAGTTGAAAGAGTAAAAGAGAAAACCTTGTTTTTAAGAGGGGTAGGGTCTTTTGTAACCAAAGAGGTCAAGCAGGTTAAGAAGAGGCTGGTAAGACTAATTACAGCTATATCAGCATAAAAACTTAAACTAGAATCTGGTGCATTTTATAATCTTGGCTGAATTACATTTATTACATTTATTAATAACAACAACAAAATAGCACCCTTTTTCCTAGTACTTACCATCTTATTCAGTCTTTACAAAATGCTGTGAAATTGGTAAGATTATCCCTATTGAAATAGGAAACAACTAAGGTTTGAAAGAGTTAAGTAATTTACTCAGGAGCAAATCCAGATTCAAAACCCTATTCTTTTTAAAAGAAAAACATGTGGAATCTTTCTAGGAGTGTTACTCTCGAGTAATCCTCTTTCTAATAATTTTTTTTTTTTTGTCTCAATGGAGCTTAGACAAGGTTTTAGAGGAGGAATAACTTTTTAATTAAAAATTTATTAAAAATTTTGGAAACATGTCAATGTGTAGAAAGCTATAGTCATTTATAAATCTTAAACAGGTTTACGTATTGACATGAATGAGTAGCACATAAAGTAATATGAACAATCTGAATTTTAGATATTTTGTAAAATTTGTTTCCGACTAAATTTACATAGTTATTTGTTTCTAATTTATTTTATTTTAAAAGGTGCCTGATTATTACAAAATAATTAAAAATCCAATGGACTTGTCAACCATCAAGAAAAGGCTACATGAAGATAATTCCCTGTATACAAAGCCTGAAGATTTTATTGCTGATTTTAGATTGATTTTTCGAAACTGTGCTGAATTTAATGAGGTGAGAAGAAAAATTCAAATAACAGTATTAGTAGAGGAAACCAAGCACATTATCAACCTATGAGGAGTTCAAGATATCTGTGCTTATAATTAAGTGTATGCATAATAAATTTTATAAGGGCATACATATAAAAGATACCCTGTAAAAGATGGTAGAAGCTTTCAGATACAACGTTAACATTTTAAAAAATAAAAAGTGAGAATTGGGAATTTTTTTTGTTTTTAATATACTTTTTATAAAAGCAGTCTCTGAGGATAGTGTGTTATATATCTGTTTACTGAAGATGTGTTAGAGTGAATATAAATGATAGGGAAAGGAAAGGAGGAAAGGAAATTTTTATATAAGTACCAAATTACCTATTTGTAAAATCAAAAGCAGCTCAAACTTGAAGCATTTGTGTGAAAACATAATCTAACTCCTCAACTTAAATGTCTGTTGTCTTTTATACTAATCGATTGAGGAGGATTTTAATTTTAATAATGCTAACTCAGCTTTCAGAAATCTTAATTTTGAAGTCATTCTTAAAGAAGATCATGTTATGTGCCTTCAAAATGTATTAATGGACATTTGTGTTTCCTTTATGTATTTTTCTCATTTTATATATTAAGATTTTTGTATTTTAAAAGAAAAAAGATCCATGCCAACATATAATTACAGAAGTTCCAGACTGTTGGGTAATAAGAGAGGAAGACCTTGCCCATTTATATATTAAAAGTTTTTTTTTATGGTGAGGGGCCAGAGAGATAGTACATCAGCTAAAGTGCTTGCCTTGCACACAGCCGATCTGGGTTCGATCCCCAGCATCCCATATGGTCCCCCAACCTCCCAACCACCCCACCCCTTACCACTCCCTCAAAAAAGAAAAGAAAATATTTCTCTCTAACCTTAGAAGCGATCTGTGGAGTAGTCTGATGCTAGTGACTACTTTTACTAACTAAAGGATGTTTCTTTTTTAACTCATATTTTTATTTTTATTCAACAGCCTGATTCAGAAGTAGCCAATGCTGGTATAAAACTTGAAAGCTATTTTGAAGAACTTCTAAAGAACCTATATCCAGAAAAAAGGTTTCCTAAACTAGACTTCAGAAATGAATCAGAAGATCATAAATTTAGTGATGACTCAGATGATGACTTTGTACAGCCCCGGAAGAAACGCCTCAAAAGCATTGATGAACGCCAGTTGCTTAAATAAGCAGTGCTGTTGGGTTGTGCTGGTTTTTAGATTTTTTTTTGTTTTGTTAAAAAAAGAAAAATTGTTAGTAATTTAACATCATTACAAAGAAGAGTTTGTGACCACTCTGATTTTTATTTTGTGTTTATTAGATTTTGATTTCCTTAACTGTTTCTTTTCACCTTTTTTATTAAAAATCAAAAAAAAAAGCAGGAAGGAAAAGAAATTGAATTGTCAACAGCAAATAAAAAGGCATTCTTAATTCTTTCCATTTCTTGGATATCAAAACTGCAGTCTTGGGTGATAACTACTTTAGAATGAAGTAGACTCTAAGTTGAACTTTTAATGTGGTTTGGATGTATGCATTAATCAGTGTTTAGAAAATACCGCCATCCATTCATGATGGCCTACCTGGGAATCAGGTGTACTACCCTCAAGAGTAGTGCTTCCTGAACACAGTGGTAATTCAGTTCCAGCCTGAATGCTGGCAGGTGCAACACAAAAGCAGATTAGATGCTATTAAGAAGGCACCTAATTGTATATCATACAAGATGGCAACTGTGTTAAAAAAGAAACAGGAAAACAAATACTTGATTTTTGTCTTTGGTTTTTGTTGTTAATAGAGGTGTTTGATACAGCAGGTTTAGAAGGCCAGTTTCCATACATTTCAACTCTGTCTTCCACTGAGGAAGTAAGTTGTATACATTTGGTTTAACTGTATCTATATGTGGTTTGTTTTTTCAACTGTGCAGGTGATCCTTTTATAATATGATTCATTATTTGCAGTATGGTTTTTAATGGAATAGCTCAAAACATGAAGTACATCAGCACTCACAATATTTGATGTAGATTCTTCATTATATGCCCTACTTGGGATTAAATAGAAGTTCCCCTGGAAGGTCCTGCTTTTTTGTGGTTTTCATCTATCTTTACATTTTGAAATAAAATATGTGTTGTGGGATTGAAGAACAGACAATTAGAGGGAATTATAGTGGAAATTTATTTTTTTCTGAAGTATTTAATTTGTTTTTTAAGAGTCCGAACTTCACATTGGATCTTTGATATGACTTTCATTTTCATTTTCCCAGTAGGAATGTGAAAGACCTATCTTCTGAAGACAGGCATATTCTTAGTGTGCTCGACCTAGTTAGTTTAACTAATTCATTCCTTTGATTCCTTTGTCTTGTTCAATATAAAAGACAATTTAGATTTAGATAGGAAAAAATCTTTGTGCCATTTGCTAATCTGATACTTGACAAATATTAACAAATGGAGTTTAGTCTTCCAAAGGAAACCTTTATTTGTAAAACATTAATTGGCTGATGAAAATTTTCTCTTTAGGCTATTAGAATAAAAGTATAGCCCACTTGAAAGAATGTTATTCTTTGGATATACAGCTCATGAATTACTGTGGAGGACTTTTATCCACATGGTATTACTTCTTAAGATAAATAATTTGAAAATATACTGAACCTGGTATATTGGATCTTGGCTATTACTAGAAATTAAGAGAAAATAACCTAATAGATTGCTACACTCTGTGTTATCTTTAGATTATCCATAATACGCCAGTTATAAATTAGTAATTGAAAAGTCTTGATTATTTTTCCAAATATTATAAGGTAATGTATTTGTCATTTTAAATATGCTTTACATTAACCAAAAACTGTTAGACCAAATCTTGATAATGGTGTATGTACCATTAAATTGTTTTTTTTTTTTTTTTACTACAGCATTTTAAAAGCTAGCAACCTATGGAGCATTTGCTAAAAAGTTTATTATTGGTATTATAGAATACTACTATCCTGTTATTTCATATTTGACTCCTGAGTTAAAACAGAGCAGCAGAGATAAACTTTGAAGATGATTACAAAGGGAAGTTATATCTAACAGGGAAAAAAATAATTCTCTAAATTTTGAGCCAGAATTTCTAATACATACCCACAACTTTTAACTGTTATAGTCAGTGCCATATTCGTCTTTTCAAACAGTGTTTCTCTTTTTGTGAATGAAAGGCAGTAGAGAATATCATGTATGACTAAATAGTCATGTTAAAAGTGATTGTCAGCTAGGGCCAGAGAGAAGCATCTGCCTTGCATGAGCCAACCCTGGTTCAATACCTGGTTCAATGTTTGATCCCCTGAGGGACCACCAACAGTGACCATTGAATAGAGAGTCAGGAATAAGTCCCAGGCATTGCAAGTGTTCTATCTGAAGTGGCCTTTTATTAGTGGTCTTTAGAGTCAAGTGAGCATATTAACAAGTATCTTTATGCTTAGGTGGAACTCAGCTGTGTCTTTTTCCTTCAGTTTGTTTTATTTTGTTTTGGATTCGTATTAGCTGTGTTTCCTCCTGGCTCTTTGCTTGGGAATCATTCTTGTTGGTGCCCAGGGGACCATAAAGGGCGCCATGCTGTATGACTGAAACCCAATCATGAACAGCTTTGTCATGGGCTATCTCATGGTGATTCAATTTTTTTAAAAAAATGTGTTTTTAAAGGGTGCCATGACCAAACACAGCTTGGCTTCATCAAGGCAAGCACCTTATCCACTGTATTACTTCTCTAGCCCCAGTCCTTCAATTTTAATAGAAATGAGCTCTGTTATGAACCTAGTTGAATCCCATACTTCCTCCCAAAGTTCAATGCAGTCCCAGCTACCTTGACCTAAATTTAATACAGTTTGCCTCTGAATTCCCTCTAATTAGGAATCAAGAGCCCAATGTCATAGCTGCAAGATGTGATCATGAGATCACACTTCTGGTCAGAGGAGACCAGTTCAGTTACTAAAAGCTTTCTCTGGTGCTAAGCTTCTAATGTTTTTAGCAATAAAGAAAAACAAGTCATAGTGATTTTTTTTTGTGGTTGTGGAAGTGCAAATGGGCTGAGACATACTATATTAAATTCACAATGTATTTGTACATCAGAATCTGACAATGCAGATGTTTTGTCCTTTGGACAGTCCCTATTCTGAATAGAGGATAGGAAAGTGGAAGTTCTAAAAAGAAACAATCATGATAGATTATCTCCCCCATACACTAAAGAATAGACTCCACATTTTACTACCAGAGTAGTGTAGATGTTTCTGAGAAGTGCTTTCAAGAGGTTGAGTTCCGTTGATTGCTGCACTTGTGCTTATGAATTTGTTTCAAATTCCTATGCTATGGCTATGCTTAAATTTCTAGATTTGGGTTCCATGGAGAGACAGGTTAGACACCAAAAGGAGGAACTCTCCTTTTTCCTAAGGCCCAAACCAAAAATTAATATGAAGCCTAAAAGTTAGCCACTACAAATGAGCAAAAGACTTGAATTGAATCTGTACTCATTTTGGTTTGCCTGTATTTGTTGTAAATGAGAAAAATCACATGATCTGATTGGCCATTAAAATTATAGACACATCATGGGATCAAACATCTCTAGTTTTTTTTTTTATTAAAATAGAGCCTCATCTTTTAAATAATTATGTTGTTATTGTTAACTGTTTTGTGACCACGTAAATAAATAGTTGATGCCTTTTAAAGCATACATTCGCACACCCTTGGGTGTGAATTACTCAAGTCCTACTTCAAGTCCTCCAATCTTGAGAGAGAGCAGTACTGACCAGTCAGATCACAAGATTTTTCTCCATCAGGTTTTGCTTATTGTGAAGGATATCTGAGGCAGTAGTCTGTTGTGTGTGCGTGTGCGTGTGTGTGTGTGTGGTATTCTTTTTTTTAATTTGAAGGAAACAACTGGTGCTTTGATTTTAATAAAAATTAGCTTTGGATTTTTACTCTGAATATTTTACAACAAGGAATTTCTAATGAAAAAAAATTCTAGTATCTCATTCAGTATGTCTCCACTGTCTTCGCATGGCCCCTTATTAAATTGGATATAAGAATTATGTTAACTAGTCCATAAATTATAGGGCTTTATTCGTAACATGCTTTTATACTTAAAAATGCAAAAACTAGTTGAATAAAAAGGGAGAGGGTGATAAATGTTTTTAATAACAGATTTTACACACTCCACATTATCTAAAAATACAAAGATAACATGGAAAATGCTACTTGGCTGACTTTAGAAGTTACACCTATATTAAGTTCACTTGTATAGTTTAGAAAATTTTGATTCTCAGTAATTAATGACTATAAAAATGAAGTCATTCTTACTATTTTATGGATAATGAGGCATGGGTGGTACTGAGTGGCTGAAACAGGATTTCATATAAGGGATGCATACAGTCTACCACTTCGATACATCCCGTGTTTGATTCTTCAATGAGGTTTTTGATAGACTAAGGAGCCAGAGAGATAGTACAAAACTTGGCTTAAGGCACTTTGCATGACCAAACTTGGTTATGGCCTTAATCATAAACTCAAACCCAAAACTTATAATAATAATGAACTAAAGAGCATAGTGAGTTTTTATTACCGTAGAAAAAAACAAGGTTAACATTTATCCAAAGATTGATTTATTTATTTGTTTTTTGCTTTTTGGGTCATACCCAGCAATGCACAGGGGTTACTCCTGGCTCATGCACTCAGGAATTACTCCTGGCGGTACTCGGGACCATATGGGATGCTGGGGATCAAACCCAGGTTGGCTGCATGCAAGGTAACCGCCCTACCTGCTGTGCTATTGCTCCAGTCCCCAAAAATCTTTTTTACCACCTTTTCAAATGTGTGTGTGGTTTTTTTTTTTTTTAATTTGAAGAAAACAACTGGTGGAATGGAAGATTTTCAAAACTGCCCTCTAACAGACTACTTGGGAGTGTGAATTCTTTGTTCATGTTCTCTAATGTTTTATCAGGAGCCTTTCCATTGCCAGTGACAGAAACCCAGTTGCTTCGGTCAGCTTGTGGGGTGGTGATGTGGATAAGTTGGGATAAGATGTGTTACACTTGAGTTTGTACTGATTTGAGAAGTAATAACTGACTGTCCTTAAAGAAAGGCTGGCAGCCTGAGAAGGTGGAAGAAGCAGCCCCATGGGCTGGCAGCACCCACGCTTCACTAAGGTTGTTTTCCGATAGGGTTTTTTATGGATTTACTAGTAGCATGTGTTAAGAAAGCCCAGCATACAGAAGTGTAAAACAAAGGTTTGGGATTTGTAGTACAAAAGTATTTTTGCCATTAAAAACATGCTTGAAAGGTGTTTTCCTAAAATACACTACACTCCCATCTCCAGGGCCTGCTGGAACAATCCAAGATTTGGGGGTGGGAGGGGGATTGTTGTGGTTTGCTTTGCAGGGGCACTGAGTGACTTTCCCTTCTCTTCCCTGAGAAGAGTAGGCTAAATAAGTGGAGATTTTGTTATCCAATACTCAACTATTCTTGTTTATTTTCATATGTCATGGAACAAATCCAAATAAAGTTCTTTAAGGTAAGTGACTTTAAGATTTGTTGGCTTCCATTTCTATTGATGACCAGTAGTTGTAAAACAAGGTATATAAAACCGGTAAGGTAGATAATAAAAGGTTTAGTGTCGAGCTTGTATTAATTTCTATCAACTTATCATATTCTGGGCAGCATTGTGCTGAATCCTCACATAGATATTGGGAGTTCGTGAAAACCTTTGGAAGGCGCTTGAGCATCAGCTTTGTTGACTTGGTTTTCAATCCTTTTCCTTTGATTTTAATTATAAACAGCTGCTTTGGGATTTTTTTGCTTATGACTTGGGGTGTACTTGTTGGCTTACTCTACGTTTGCAAGTTTGTAACCCAGATTTCTTTGTCCCAAAAATAACCTAGGCTTAAATTTTCTAATATTAGAACAAGATGGCTCGGCAAAGCTGCTAAACTGACTTCAGAAGATTTTATGTGATGCAGGCTTCATTGACACTTTATGAAGTACAAACAGTTTCTGTTTCTAAGGGTCCAGAGAACCGCAAAATGGAGTGAAAGGCAGGACATGTTCGTCACATTTAGAACCAAGTGGACTTGACATTTGGGGACAGTCTCAGGTCTAAAGGAGCAAGAGTTCTTTTTCTTTTTTCTTTTTTTTTTAGTTAGCAGCAGGGGTTCCATATTATGCCTAGAAATCTGTTTCATTAGTGCCTATTCCACTTTTGGGACCACACCCAGTGTACTCGGCTTACTCCTGGCGTTGTACTCAGGACTCACTTCTGGTGGGGCTCAGGGGACCAGATGGGATACCAGGGATTGATCCCTGGTCAGCCATTTGCATGGCAAGCGTCCTACCTTCAGTACTGTCACTCCAGTCCATAAACTATTGATGAGGTGTTTATTTCGTTGCTGGGGTTGGGGTTTTTGTGTGTTTTTTTTATTTTCTATATCCCATCACATTCTTTTGGCTCAGAGTCTCGTTTCTGCTGTAAATCTTAGACTTTTTCTTCAGACCCTTTTCCTTTGTTCTTTTGTTGATATTGTGCTTTCTTTCTCTCCCTGCCCCGCCAAGATAGTTTTATTGAAACTTAGTTAGAAATATTTTGGGGTAGAGATAGAGAAGTGTGTGTTCAAGAGAACACAGGCTTGAAGAACAAGCTGATACTGCTTTTTACTGACTTGTCATTCTGAGTACAATGTGCCTTGAAGTTTTTCTATTTGAATCTATTTCTGCTGGGGCCCTTCCGACCTTTTTGTTTTGTGTTGATTTGTGTTGTTGGGTGAGGGGAGGAGGTTGTTTTTAGGAAGGGCTTTGTCTTTTGGCTTTTAGGGCCACGCACCGCTATACTTAGGAGTTACTCCTGGTTCTGTATTCGAGAATTACTCCTGGCAGTCTCAGGAGACCATATGGAATGCCAGAGACCAAACCCAGGTAGGCCATGTGCAAGGAAAATGCCAAGCCCAGTGATTGTAGCTTTCTACCTCTTGAATCTTGGTGCCAACTCAACTCTGGGAAATTCTTCTCTAGTATTCTTTCATTGGTGGTTCTTCATCAAATTCACCTTCCTGTTCCATGGGGAATCTGAGGACCCTTATATTGTTGTCTTGAACTCATCCCATAGTCTCTGATGTGCTGTTTTTTTCTTCCCAGGCATTTTTCCCATCTCTTGTTTTCTAGAGACTTAACTATATCTCATTTTGGAGCTCACCAATGTTTTCCTCAGCTGCTGTTATTTATTTTGCTCTTCAGACCTTCTATTGAGGTTGTTTTGTGTTGTGGGTTTTTTTTTTGGGGGGGGGCACTGGTTTACAAGCTCATTACTGTTATTAGTAGGGTTTCATACAGAAATATTATAGCAGCACACCAGAGTATCTGCTTCCCTCCACCATTGACCTAGTGTTTCCTCTTTCCCCCCATTCCTTTTCCTGTAGTAAATTTTCTACTAGAGATGTGTTCAGTTTCTGTTGCCTATCAGCTGTTATTATTCCCCTACAGTGATTCTTTATCACTTGCATGAGATCATTCTGTATTCTTTCCTTCTGACTAGCTTCATTCAGCATGATACTTCCCAGATCCGTCCATGTAATAAGCACATCTCATTTTTTATTACAGGCGAATGGTATTCCATTGTGTAGGTGTAATATAGTTACTTTATTCAGTCATCTGTTCTTGGAAACTTGGGTTGTTTTCAGATTTTGGTTATTATGAGTAGTGCTGCAACGAACATAGGGGTCTAGATTTTTTTTCTAAATTGAGTTTTTGGGTACTTGGGGTAGATATCCAGAGTAGGAATTGCTCAGTTCCTGGTTTTTTGAGAAGTGCCATATTATTTTCCCAAAATGGTTATACCAGCTGATATTCCCACGAACAGTGGATGAGAGTCCTCTTTTCCACACATCTGTGCCAGCACTGGTTTTTGTTTTTTGCGATGTGTTTCATCTCACTAGTTGTGAGATGATCTCTCATTGTTTTGATTTGCATTTTCCTGATACAGCACTCCTGATAAATGTTGTAGAACATTTTTCCATAAACCTTTTGGTCATCAGTATGTCTTTTTTGGAGAAAGTTTCTGTTCATCTCTTTCTCCCATTTTTGCTTTTGCTTTTTGTTTTTTATTGCTTTACTTTTATTTTTATTACTATATCATTTTGGAGACTCATAAGTAACATGCTCTATAGTGTACAGTTAGCAAAGTGGTTTCAAGTCTATTCACCCTAAAAAAAGATGTTCTCATGACGTCTTTTTTGCCAAATTTTTTTTTAATTAAAGAACTGTGATTTACAAAATTGTTGATAGTTGAATTTTAGGCACATAACATTTCAACACCAATCCCACCACCAGAGTCGACTTCCCTCCACCCCTATTTTTTAATAGGGTTGTTGTGTTGTTTTGCTTTTGTAGATTTCTTCTACTAGTGCTATTAAGTGTTTTTAATATCACTTCTTAAAAATCTGGCATAACTGGAACATTGTGCATAATTGGTTTATAGAGGTCCCTTTTTATTTTGTAGGTATCTGTGACTTTCAGGGCTACAGTTCTTAGAAAAGAAGGGGCTGAAAGTTTAGTGACTAAACAAATGCTTTGCATTGCATGCATGTTTGATCCTCAAGGACACTATGCCCCTCCCCGCCCCAGCACTGCCAGGAGTGACCCTTTCTCCCCCTCCCTCCCCCCCAAAAATGGTATGCTGGAAGGAGAAGCCATTGGTTATTGAAAATTGAAGGTTCCTTTTTTTCTTTTCTTAGGCCTTGTCTCATTTAGAGCTAAATTAATGTGGGAAAATGAATGTGGTGCTGGGTTAGGATTAGGGGAGAGGAGGTTGGTATATCTTTCTGCACAGCAGCTTCAAGATTGTGGGTGACCTAACCCTTGGATGATCTAACATTTTTCTATGGTCAACTTACCCCAGCCCAGGACTGATAAATTGATGTGGTGAGTGCTCTGGTCTGCCAGTTGAATGCCCTCCAGTTCCATAGTGTTGGCCATGGAGATACCCATTAGAAATAGAATTAGAAATAGAGATACCTGTTCCCTCCTTGAGTTCTTTTTTTTTTTTTTTCTCCTAAATTACAAGCATTTTATTTTATTTTTGCTTTTTTGGGTCACACCCAGCAACGCTCAGGGGTTATTCCTGGATCTGCACTCAGGAATTGCTCCTGGTGGTGCTTGGGGGACCATATGGGATGCCAGGGATCGAACCCAGGTTGGCCACATGCAAGGCAAACACCCTACCCGCTGTGCTGTCACTTCGACATCTTCTCCTTGAGTTCTTTGTTGTGCCAGATGCCTTGATAACTCTTATCCAGCCTATTTACTTTGATGGCATTGGTTAAACAATCTGAATTTGTCTTATTTCCCTGCATCTCCCTGAAGTTTATGCTGTGAAATTAATTGATACCTTCACAAGTTGAACAGCTGCCACCCTCATGAACTACCAGAGTCATTGTCTTGGAGTTATATAAAGTTTCAAATATAAACTTTGTTTGGATCGCATTCTTAAAGAGGAGCAGTGAGCCCCAGAGGTTCTGTGGCAGTCTCATCCCACAGCCCCTTGGCAGTCAGCTTTAGAGCCCACTATTTTTAAAAAATGTTATTATAACACCGTGTTTTACTAAAGTTGTCCATAATAACTGTTATTTCAGCTCTTAAATGTTCCAAAACCAATCCCAGCCATAGTGTGATCTTCAGTGTCCCCAAGTTTCACACCCACCAACCCCAGTTGGCTCCCTGGCAGACACAAACAGATTTAGTTCATATTGCTACAACACAGAGGTAAATGGAATTACCAAATCTTAGATCAATAGTTATTTGTGATCTATCTTAGTTGGCATTACTGAAGTCATTGAGGATCTACTATGCCAGTTAGTGCTAGTTGAGCCTTCTGAGTTATTGTTTAGGTCGTTGAGCTCAGTGGTCGTCTGGGCAACTTACCCATCAGATTTGCTATGATCCTACTAGGCTGACTATGACAGTTTGAGTTGTCACATGGTACAAGATCTATAGATCTGGAGATGTTGGGTAGCTTGGCATGATGAGTTTCATCCGTGGAGCTGGGCCATTTCTAGGTGGAGTGTGCCTGAAGCCTGCAGAAAGGGGAGTTTGCCGCCTCCATTCCCACAAGGCCCCAGAGTTCTCAGCCAGGAGCATTTTGTCTGGAAGATTCAGCAGTATTATATTCTGTTTGGAGACACGGTGCTGAGCCATTTCTCTACCCACACGATGGCAAGTATGGGCAGAGGGTATATTGGGTTTTCTGCGTGTGAGGGGATTCAGCCATTCCCGTTGTGAGAATACTCCAGAGTTGTCAGCCCATAGACTGGTCGCTCCCGGAAAGTTCAGCTGTAGAGCCCGTCCTTATCACCTTCCTGTCTAAGCCATTTGTGCCTGTGTTTCAGTTAGGAATTGTCTGAACCCTTTTTGAAGGAGGGCCCTTACTCCTCATACCATCTGCAAGTTTACTCATGCAGGATAGTGCCCTACAAAATGGGTGGGAGGACTTGGCAATCCAACTAGGGATCCCCATTTTTAGATGTAGAAACTTGATCTAGTGGAGTGAGGCATGCTCTAGGTTAGTATTCATGCCCAGGAGAGGGCACATAATTGATAACATGGAAATCAATTCTCCATAAAGTCAATTAGCTAGTAGTAATGGGGGAGAGTATTTATTCCCCGTTCTAGGTGCTCAGATACAAATGTCATACTCATTTAAGCATTAGCATTTTTGTGTGCACAAGCAATTTTCCATAGAGATCACAATTTTAATACACTGATTTTAATTGTGAAATTATTGTTTGTTTTGAAAGAGTTGGCAATACCACCCTACCTTCTTATCTTAGCACACATTTCAGCCCAATTTTTGTTAGAACTTCTAGGGACTCTAGTCTGCATGCCTGTTCAGGTATATCATTTTTATGAGATTTATCACTTTTTTGGTTACAATTTTTTGTTAGAAATTATAGGCACTCAAGTGTGCATACCCTTGAAGATCTCATTTTATCTGAGATTTATTATTCATATAAATTTAACATGCTTTCTATGTGGGATCCTCAGGTTGCATCCCCATCACGGCCCCTACTAGACATGTCCCCACCAGCAATAAAGACAAGGTCCCATTCCCTCCTTCCATAGGCATACCTTTTCTATCTTAATTTTTGTTTCTCTATTGTCTCACAGGAAAGAGATCACTATGCAGTTAGCCACCTTACTTTCAGGTTGGTTTTGGTTATTTTAAATGTGTAATCTGTTTCTTAATTACCAGTAGCATACAGAAATAAAATCTGGTTCTTAAAATGTGCCACAGATCTGGTAGACAGGTATGCTGATCTTCATTTAATTTGCTGGGGGAAAAAGTAATTTTAATAGATCAATAAGTGATTAAATAGATCATTTAATAAAAAACTTCACACTCATCTAGCAATAAAACTTAGTAATAGAACTTTTTCAATAAACAGATCCTAGTATTTACTTCTATATCTTTTTTTTTAATTTATTTTTTTTATTTTTTTATTTATTGAATCACCTTGGGAAAGGTTACAAAGCTTTCAGGTTTAGGTCTCAGTCATGCAAATATCAAACACATTTCCCTTTACCAATACTTTTTTTTTTTTTACCATGAAGAACCCCAATAAAACCCCACCCTCCACCCCTCCCACTCCCTGTGGGGCAGATGAATTCTAGTTAACACTCTATCTGCTTTGATTAGATTCATTGTTTCAATAAAAGATTCACCACTATTATTTAGAGTTTACCCCCCCCCCCCCCAAATCAGACATGCTGAAAAAGCATTGTGACGTGATTTGCTTTCTACAGCTGGGTTCAAGAATTAAATGTTGGTTTTGGATTTCTGCTATTTTACTTTTTGACCCTGGAAGTATTTATACTGAAAGTCAGATAGTTAAGAAATTGGTTTCTGTGCTCTGGAGTCGTGGCCGTGCTGGAGAGCCGCTATATCTTAAAAAGCAATAATAACCCCATAATTCTGTTATTCTAACAATATATTTAGAAATTTTTATGTAAGTATCCTTTTCAGTTTCATTTTTTTATTTACAAGGCTTAAAGTGTATTCTGAAGTGGAATTACTATTAATTATTGATGAGGTTGATTCATCCAGTCTAAGTTTTGAGATTTGATCTCAAAGTTTAGAAGTGACAGTTTTTGCCTTAATGTTTTAAGCATCAGGGATTGAGGTGCTTACTTGGTAGGATCATCCATTTATTGAATTCTTAAAGGCAGAGAACAAATGAGTCCACCATTGTCCTTTCAGATGTTTCTCGAAGTCTGCTTTATCAGTCATGAAATTTATGTTAAGTAATCACAATGCTTGAACTACTTTTAGATTTGCCCTAATATTGTATCACTGAGAGTAGCGCCATCCAGAGCTCATACAATTGTATTTATGCGAACTGCCACCTAAGTGGTAAGGAAATAAGCTTCTAGACAGATATACAAAATGGTTTCATCATGCTTAGAACCAAGTCCCAGTATAAGATTTTCAAGCATCGCTTGATTTTGCAATGCCTGGTTCCACTACTTGTTAGCATGTTTCTTTTGTTACAAGTTATTCAACTTTACCTCCAAGTTTCCCCATTTTTTAAAAGATGTGATAATCCTTTGAGAGAAATCATGGATCATCTCGTTTGGTCTCTGCCCTTAAGAATTCAATAAATGGATGATCTTAGCAAGTAAGCACCTCAATCCATAATTACTTAACAGGTTATATGATCTGTGACTCAAAAACCAGCAAGGAGGGAAATAGAGAAATAGAGTAATCTGTTTCGAACCTCGAAAACAGATTTAGTGTACAGCTTTCCCTTAACCGTGTGTTCCTTGTTTCTCAGACAACAGAGGAGATAAATCATAAATTCAAACATGTCTAAGGTTTACCCAGAATGGGACGTAGGAAGGAAAGCAAATCACATTCAGTCACCGAAACAGCGACTCAGGTCAAGTCCCAACACCTCTCTCTCTCATTCCCTGCAAGCACCCATGAAGCCCCCAGCAAGCTGCATTTCCTACAAACCTGGAGACCCAAACATAGATGCCCACTCTTCTCCTTTACCCTGGGAGCACACCTTATACTCTGGGTACACCACCAGAGTGATCATGAGACAGAGCTGCCAATGCTGAGGTAATGCCAATAAAGACTCTAGGCAGCACAAATAGGTGCTTCAGCTCCTCCAGCCACTTCTGCCACAGTGCTGACTTGTGGACAGACACCTGGGGTGCCCAGGCCTTAACGGCTCTCCTTCACCTGGTCCCTGTTCCCACTACAACTTTTCCTATTGATTTGGAGGTGGGGGGGTCAGGTGACACCCAGGGGTGCTCAGGAGACCAGAGCAAGTGCCGTGGTAAAACCAGGGTGAGCAGCATGCAAGGCACTTTGACCTCTGCTCGCTCTCTGACTTCACTACGATTCTTAGAGAAAGCTGAGATTTCACTTAATAATCGCTTGCTTTCTATTTGAGTGCTACCCCCAAGACTCCTGTCAGCTCACACTGGATGTCATAATGTCTTCATAGGATATGCATATGCCAAATGTTGGGGGCTGCGTATAAATAAGGGGCATCGGTGCTCTTACCTGTAGGGCCCGTCCTTTGGTCTCAATGGGCAGCGTAAAGGCAGAAATGGCACATACAACACAGACTGATGAGAAAAGACACAGGGCCCCCAGGATGGAGGCACTCATGAGTACCTGTGGACAGGGAGTACCTCGGTTAGTGTGCCCTGGGAACTTCCAAACCCATCTGTACAGCAGTGGGGAGATCATTCACCTCACCAGTCTGCAGATTGCCTGTCCTGACACCTCCCATCCCTCTGTGGGCTAAGGTGGTGTTGGCCTTTTGTGAACGGTGTCGTGAACTAGACCTGACACTGGGATGTCAGCACAGACCTCTCACTTTACCCACCCCTCACAGCTGCAGAGCAAACGAGGCTCCAGTTGAGTGAGGAGATGTTGCTTCTCCCCTCTTCCCAATGCAGACACCTCTTTTCAGTTCTAAAAGGATGAACCAGGAAAAACATCTAAAACAGCTGTAATCTCGCAGTCTCAAAAGATCTTTTCTTTTTTCCACAACATTTTATATAGCACAACAAAAGCTTCACCCATCCATTTATAAAAAAATATTGTGTTTTGGGTCATACCCAGCAGGGCTCAAGAGACTCCTGGCCCTGTGCTCAGAAATCAGGATCCAGGGATCCTATGGGATGCCATGGATCAAACCAGGTCAGCTGCACACAAGGCCGATGCCCTGCCCTCTATACTGTCGCTCAAAACCCGAAAGAAAGAGTTTCTGCCTGCATATATTATAAACACAAGTGTGTATATATAAAAATAAAACCTTTGGCCTGGTTTTACTCACTTTAATACTAGCTAATAGCAAAGCTCTCTGTAGTTACAGAATATTGCAATTTGGAGAGAAGCTTTGAAAACTTAGAAGGAAGACCCATCTCACATTTAGGCCCAAGTGACTGTCCAGCATCCTGTGTCATATACAGTCCAACCCACCATAAGAGTTGCCGCCTCCCCACACAGTAATTAAGTTTGAATATAGATATTCAATAATGAATGGTTGTAGATGACAGACAATAGGCAGATTGGGCGATAGTTGCCAATGTCATGGATGTCTCCCTTCTTGAACAGTAGTACGGTCCTGCTGGTTTTCCATTGGGACGGAACCTTGCATTCAGACAGGTAGCGAGTGAAGAGCCGAGCCAGTGTATTGATGAGTACTGACGGCAGGTTCTTCAGGTGTTCAGGTCTGACCTTGTCTGGGCCGGGTGCTGTTTGTTTCTTTACCGACAAAATGGCGTGTCGGATTTCGGAAGGGAGAACGTTGGGAACGACATACCCATCCTGTGGAATTTGGTATGTCGGCAAGTGGACATGGCTATCGAAGATATTTGAGTAAAAGTCATGGATAATCTTCTCCATTGCCGTTCTGGAGGATGTGATGGATCCATCAGGACATTGGAGGGCAGCCATCTTGGTTTTGTAGTTGGCGAAGGACAGGCGGGCGTTACGAATACTTTTCCCGGCTTCTGCCGCATCTACCAGTACTTCTCTTCTCTCTTTGAGGTCTTCCTTGATCACATCTCTGCACTGCTTTGCGAGCTCGGACATTAGCTTGCGGTTGCCTGAGGCATGCGCCAAACCACGCTGGCGAATTAGCTCAAGAGTTTTCGAAGATAGGCGATTTTTTGTGGCTATCTCTCTCTTGGTGTTCCTCGCACATTCATGGAGGTGCTGAACTAGTTGATCATATTCCTCGTCAATGTTGTCAACAATGGCATCTTCCCATGTTGCTGCAATAGTACCAAAGAGTTCCCAGTTGGTGGTCATTCTGGGAGTTCTCTTTTTGAACTTTGCAGCCCTTTCTCCCCGCTCTGTGAAGTAGAATTTTGCACGAAGGAGACGGTGGTCCGATCCTGTTCGAAATTTTGGGACAACAGCGACATCGGTCAGGCAAAACCGTCGATTGAATATGATGTGGTCTTGGTCGACATGATGAACTCAGACAGTCTCTCACCCTGTTCGTTCCATTCTAGGCCAGGGGTCCCGATGTGAAGTTCTTCAGCTGATCTTCTCGGTCCTATCTTGGCATTAAAATCACCCACAATGATCTTGTAGAAGGTGTGGTCTTCTTTATAGAACTTCTCTAGCTCCATGTAGAACTTCTCGATTTCTCTTTCATCATAATGAGATGTTGGTGCGTAGACAACGAAGATAGAAACTGCAGGCAGTGAGCCACATCTATTCAAATGTAAACATCCGATTGGGGTTGTTAGGCATTCGAATGAATCAATGCTCTTGGCCAAGTTTGTGTTGACAAGGACACCGACGCCTCCAACACCTCTTTTATCGCATGTTCCGAGGAACAATTCTTCTCCAGTGTCGAAAACGGCATGGTGAGATTCGTGCCTTCTTGTCTCGGTCAGACCAATGATGTCGTACTTGATCATTCGCGCTTGTACCATCAGGTCCTCGATGGATGCATCTGATGCTAGCGTATGTGCACTGAAAATACAGACGATCATTTTTGTCTTCCTTCGTTGTGGCAGCCTAGGTCGACCTTGAGATTTTGTCGGCCTCTCCTTTCTCATCCTTCTCAGTGCTGTCATGTCGGTGAAGCCTTCAGGGTCAGGTGAATGAGACCAGTTGTAGTTACTGGTTTTGGCATATCGAATACACAACGGATAGCTTGCCAGGCTCTTCTGTGCAGGTGGAATACTCTCGGTAGCTTGCCAGCATGACAAATGACCTGGCACCTGAGCTGTGCAGGAGGAAGAGAGCGGCTTGGAACGCCTTCAAGAACGTAGAAGAAATAGCTAAGAGGACGAAGAACCTCCGGCTCTGGGCACATCTCTTTGATTCCACTGTTCTTCCTGCATTAACATATGCCTCAGAGACCTGAACCCTACGCAAACAAGATGAGAACGCTATTCAGGTCTCCCAAAGAAGAATAGAAAGAGCTATGCTTGGAATATCACGTTTCACTCAAATGAGAGAAAGAATCCGGAGTTCTGACATCCGTCGACGATCAAGAATCAGGGACGCTGTCTCATTTGCCAAGGTGTCAAAAATCAGATGGGCTGGTCACGTAATGAGATTTAAAGACGACCGTTGGACTAGAGCTGTTACCGACTGGATTCCACGGGATGTCAAAAGACCGCGTGGCCGCCCACCTACCAGATGGCCAGACTTCTTCGTCAAGATCATGAACGATCGGTTTGAGGCCCTTCATGTTTCCGGAGTGAACAGATGCCATTGGGCTACACTAACACACGACAGGGACAAATGGAGACGTTACTGGCGCCCGCTCGAGCAAATCGACGACTAACGGGAAGTTAAGTGATTTTTAAGTGATTCCAAGGAGTGGGACTTAGTAGATCACAGGCCTTGCATATGTGGACCCGAGGCACCACCCCTGAGATAACCACACATACTCACATACTCACTCTGATATTTACTCAATCAAAGATATAAAATAAGAGAAATGACCAGGAAAAAATAGTGACCCAAGAAGCCCATCCTCAGAATTCCTGGTCACAGATAATTCTTCCAGTTCTCCAAAAACAAGACTAAAGAGGCAAAGCATCCATCACCCTTCCAAGAAGTCTCACACACATATAATTCCATGTTGGCATCTGCTTTTCCCAGCTGATTCACATTTCAGAAAAATAGTTTGTCATAATATTTAGTGGATTTATTTTCTGTACACAAAAGAATCAGCCCAGGATGTTTTGAATGCCAGACACTGTAATAGGTGTTTGGAATCTAAAAAAGCAGAAATCTGCACTCATCCATCTCTATCTGTCTGGGACTTAGGAAGAAAAAAATTTTATTTTTTCTTGAGATGGAGCGATAGTGCAGCGGTAGGGCGTTTTCCTTGCACACAGCCAGCCCAGCAGAGCCGGGTTCGATTCTTCCGCCTCTCTCGGAGAACCCGGCAAGCTACCTAGAGTATCTCGCCTGCGCGGCAAAGCCTGGCAAGCTACACGTGACGTATTCAATATGCCAAACACAGTAACAAGAAGTCTCAAAAAAATGGAGACGTTACTGGGCCCGCTCGAACAAAATCAATGAACAACGGGAGGACAATGTTTGTTTGACAGTGTTTGCTATGCCAAATTGAACCAAGCCTCATGCATGGAAAGGGGAAGGAAGATTTTAAATAGGATGACAAACAGGCAGTTACCGGAACAGTAATGTGCAGGGTAATCTGAAGATGCCAGAAGAGGTCCAGAGCAATAGGACAGTGGGTAGGGCCTTGCACACAACCTACCCAGGTTCAAGCCCTGGTATCCCTGAACACTGCCAGGAGTAACCCCTGAGCATCACTAGGAGTGACCCCAAAAAGACAAAAGATACCACAAGAGTGAGTTGGTCTGAAGGAAAGGCACAAGCACAGAATGATCTCATACGTGGGCCATGAAGAAATGGGGTGTAACAAATGCCCAAAGGCACTGGAACCATCCTACGTGTAAGAAGATGCCAAGTGAGATGATTTTGAAAGACTCTCAGGAATCACGGAAGCGATTTTAGCCAGGCTGGAGCGTTCCTGGGAAAGGAACGAGGTCTTTCAGCTGGGAGGAAACAGGCAGTCCAGGGCTGGGCCATGGATGCTACCGGGAGAGTTCTGCGGGGAGGGACTGGTTGAAACCACAGGCCACATGAAATCACAGGCCTGACAATCTCAAGAGATTCGAATGAGAGACCAGATGAGATCCTTTATACTGGCTGTGTGAAAATCAATGTGGGCAAAGGTGCTTGCCAGCTTTTCTACCTAGAAACAAGGGGTTAGGATGTTAGAAGCTCTAATGAAAGATTATCAATCTAGTCACAACACAATGAAAAGTGAAGAAATGAAAGTCATGGAGTACCTACGAATATATAAAGAAAACAAAATTCCAACAAAGGGCTTGAAAGGAACTTAGGTGAATGAAAAGCAAATCTTATTGTTAGCTAAGAAGACAGCTCTAAAGGTGGTGGGGGGTGGGGTGGGGTTCTATGTTTCCTGATTAACTGATCTATTCCATGAACTCACCAAGTCTTACTTGGATTTGGACTAACTAGAGAGCCACAATGTAACCAGATGGTTCCAAAGGATTCTGAGAAGATGGATGAAGTGCAGCCTGTAACAGTTAGTCCTCTAGTCTCGTCAGACTAATGAGAACAGAGACCAAACCAGATAGATCTGTGGGCTGACGAGTAGTGAGGTGACAGACCACATCATTGTAAAATAGAAGCAAATGAACAATTTTGTTTACTTGTTTGGGGGCCACACCCAGCGATGCTCAGGGGTTGTTCCTGACTCTGCCCTCAGGAGTCACTCCTGATGGTGCTCAGGGGACTATACCAGATGCCGGGGACCGAACCCAAGCTGAACACCCTCCCCATAGTGCTCTCGCTCTGGCCTGCAAATGAACAGTTTTAAGCAAGGAGTGAAGATGGGCTTGCCACTTAGGAAATCCCAGAGCTCTCTGCATAAGACCTCAAAATGCTCATCCTGGTAACAGCAGCAGTTAGGGATTTCTGGGTCAGAATCTAGGGTGCAATTTCTTGGAGAAAATCAATAAGGTTGTACACCTAATTGAGCTTCAAGTCAATTGATTTTTGAACTAATTTTCAAAAAAAATTGATTTTTTCACCTAAATCAGTGGGGTTGTTTTGGTTTGGTTTGGTTTTTGGTTTGGGGGCCATACCCAGCTGTACTCAGGGGTTCCTCCAGGCAGTGCCAGGGATCAAACCAGGGTCAGCTGCATGCAAGGCAAGGCTAGCGCCAGCACCATCTCTCCAGCCTCCAAAATCAGTGTTGTAAAAACCAAATTGGAAAATGTCCTGCTCAGCCGTCACCAACCCTTCCTCTGAAAACCTGCACTCCTTCCCCTGGGGTCTTCTGCCTTCTTGCCCAGACAGCTTGGATGGATTCTGCTTCCAGACACCAAAAGATGATGAAGGGGCAGCATGACGTCACCTCAGCCCCCTGACTAGAGTCACCCTATCTGCCTCTGCCTTCCTGAGACAAGGCTCCTACGTGGATGCAGCGGCCAGTCTCCCCACACCCCCATGGGTTCAGCGCCAGTTTCCCCAGGCTAGTACCTGGGCTCATCTACCTGGCTCCGGCCTCCTCCCCTCCTTCATGTTCTCAGCGGTGCCATGTCCTGGCATTACCCACACCCTCTGTATCCTCCCCCAACTATCCCCAGCATCTTCTGGCCCCTTGTGCCACACACCCATGCCATAAGGGTCTGGGAGCTTTTACCTCACCATTTCCCCACACACACACACACACAAAAAGGAGAAAGGGCAACTCGAGAAAACTAGTGAAGGGAGTGGAAACCCACAGTTCTCTTACCCTAAAGAGGTGGGTCCCTGTCCCCCACCCCTGACCCCTCCGTCCCTTCAGAGTTTCCGGGACATACCTGGGATATAAATGGCGCCACCATCGCACCGATGCGGCACAGGGAGCCGCTGGTCCCCATCCCCAGGGCACGCATCGTCGTGGGGTACACCTGCAGAAGGACAGGTCAGCTGAGTGAGCCCTGCTCCGCCCTCCCCGCCCACCCCATCAGGCTTCGGAATGAATATGCGTTAAGGTAAAGGTAAAGGCCTTCCCGTTGATCGTCGATTTGCTCGAGCGGGCCCAGTAACGTCTCCATTGGAGACTTTGTTGTTACTGTGTCTGGCATATCGAATACTCTCGGTAGCTTGCCGGGCTCTCCGAGAGGGGTGGAGGAATCGAACTCGGGTCCGCCATGTTGGCCGCTTGTAAGGCGAACGCCCTACCCGCTGTGCTATCGCTCCAGCTGGAATATGCGTTAGATGCCAAATACCCTGTACAGGACATAGGAGACACATTTTCGCAGCACAAAGTTTTCATTGTGTTAGAATATCAGTAAGATACTTAGGGCAGGGGGGTGGATCAGGAGTGAGAGCCCTGGGCTGCATCCTGGCACTGCAGGAAGAAAAACTAGACACTAACATTTAAATGAGCAAATACCAAACTGGACGGGAAGGTGGGGGAAGGTGCTCTTTCTTGGGGATTTGTGTGTGTGGTTTGGGGGGTTGTTTTTGTTTTTGCAGTACTGGGGGTTGAACCCAGGACCTCCTACATGCAAGATGTGCTCTACCCCTGAGCCACATCCCCGGCTTCCAAATAAGTATTTAATCAAATGTTCCAGAGAGAACTTGAGAAGCTGGACTCTGGAATCAGACCATTTCCATTGAGAGTTAGAAATATTTGCAGGTGTGGAGCTGGGGCGATAGCACAGCAGGTAGGGTGTTTGCCTTCACGGCCCACCCGAGTTTGATTCCCAACATCCCATATGGTTCCCTGAGCATCGGCAGGAGTAATTCCTGAGTATATGAGCCAGGAGTAGCCCCTGTGCATTGTAGGGTGTGACCCAAAAAGCAAAAGAAAAAAAAAAAAGATCTGCAGATGTTTCTGTTTCTGCTGGGTGAGAAGACAACACACCCAATAATGAGCCCCTGAAACATCCAGTACAGTGACAAGAACTGATTCAGAGCAGGGAGCGACTACCCCAGTCACCATTCTTATCACCGTATCTTAAGGCAGATTCAACTTTTGCACTCTTTCCCTCTTACATTTATAATAAAGTCTCAGTCTGAAATTTACTGACTCAGAAGTCATGTTTTTTCTTTCTTTTTCGGGGGTATGGGGTTGCACGTGGGGTTCACACCCAGTTGTGTTCAAGGATCTCTCCTGCTGATGCTCAGGGGACCATATCCAGTGCTGGGGATCAAGTCAGAACTGGCTGCATACAATGCCTCCACCACTATCCTAACTCCGGCCTGAGAGTCAGGATTCTTATGAAAGCTGCAGAAGTGAAGCAAATGTTGCTTAATAAGATTGTGGGCAAAACTGTTGTTTATTGTTGTGGTTTGGTTTGGGTGCCAACACCCGGCAGTGCTCAAGTCTTCCTACTGTCTCTACACTCAGGGATCCATCATAGCAGAGACCAAGGACTGAACTTCAATCATATGGGATGTGGGGGATTGAACTTGAGTCAGCCACATGCAAGACAAGTGCCCTCCCCACGGTACCATCCCTCTAGCTCCCTGACTGTGTTCTAATGGAAGAACTTCCCCCATTTAAGCTGTGTAAAGCGTGGGAGTTCCTCTGAAAACAGACCAGAGGGTTCCTGGAGCAGTTTCTGGACCAGGCACTCACCTCCGCAGTGTAGATGTAGATGGTGTTGAAGTTGGCTGCCACCAGCGCCCGCAGCATGAAGAGGAAGCCAATGAGGCCAGCACTGGGGACAGAGGGGGAGAAGGAAGGAAGTAGAGGCGACCTAGGGGGACTCCTGCTGAGAAAGGGCATTGTGGAGGCTTCCAGGTGACCCCATCCCTGTGGGAGTGGGAACCAAGGACATTACTCAGGCCTGCAGCCCTCCCTGGGCATGCCAAGGTGCCATTCCAGCCCGCAGTCCACATAATGCCACCTGTCCCCTGCCTTCCAGGCAGAATAAAGCATCTGACAGAAACTACATCAGGTCTCTGAGTTAACAGCAACATGCATTTGGAGGCTATAAAGATAGTTGAGTGGGTAGTATATTGGCCTTGCATGCTGCCAATCTGGGTTCGATCCCCAGCATCCCAGATGGTCTCTCTGTTAGTAATAATTCCTGAGCACAGAGCCAGGAGTAACCCCTGAACATTGCTGGTGAGACCTCCGAAAGCGAAAGAGTGATCTGTGTTTCTATCTCACAGGTCCCTCGCTAGGTCACTACACCACCGGGACAATGGTCTCTTCTAGATGACTTGGGAAACTAGGGTCCTGGTTGCAAAGGAAGCTTGGCGCAGCGATTCAATGACCTTGTTAGGTGGAGTGAGGACCCCACACTGCCCCCCCCCCACCCTGTGGTAGCTGAAGGGAGCCTGCTAAGTGCGAGAGGGCAAGAGGGGTGGGCAAAGGGAGATTCAGACAAACAGTGCATTCTGCCTTTTTCCTGTGAAATGGATTTGCCCGTACACCCACCCCCTGCCCCCAGCTTGGATCAGGAGACCCCACTTGAAAACCGCTGCACAAAATGGGATTATTTGGAAGCCCCATGAAGGGAGCTAGAGAGATAGTACAGGGGTGAAGGAGGAGCTTGCCTTGCAAGTGGCTGACACAGGCTCCATCTCCAGCACTGCCCCTGATCATCAACCAGGAGTGGCCCCTGAACCCAGAGATAGGAAGAGGCCCCGGGCATTGACCCGACCCTCGGTCCCCAACCAAGAACAATGTGAAATACCTGGAAGTACAAATATTGAGGAGGAGGAAGAACAGGGCTGTGCACCCCATGGTGATGGAAAGGCTCAGCCGTCTCCCCAGGAAGTTAATGCCCAGGATATTTAAGGGGTTCACTAGAAAACAAATGACAAAGAGTTTCAGGACCTAGAAAACAAGGGGTACAGAAGTACCACTTCTGGGAATATCCCCCGATGCAAACACACAGCAGAAATGACATTGGAACCTGTATTTGCATGTGCAGCATTGTTCACTATAGCCAGAATCTGGAAACTACCTGAGTGCCTGAGAACAGACAACTGGTTAGAGAAACTTTGGTACAGCTACACAATGGAATACTATGCAGCTCTTAGGGAAAAAATGAAGTCATGAAGTTTGCTTATAAATGGATAGTCATGGAGAGTATCATGCTGAGTGAAATGAGTCAGATGGAGAGGGACAGACGAGGAATGATTGCACTCAATTGTGGATGAAAAAAAAATAGTAAGAGACTAATACCCAAGGATAGTAGGGCTGGAGTGATAGCACAGCGGGTAGGGCGTTTGCCTTGCACGCAGTCGACCTGGGTTCAATTCCTCCGCCCCTCTCTGAGAGCCCGGCAAGCTACCGAGAGTACCTCACCTGCACAGGAATGCCTGGCAAGCTACTCGTGACGTATTCAATATGCCAAAACAGTAACAACAAGTCTCACAATTTGTTGTGAGACATTACTGGTGCCCGCTCGAGCAAACCAATGAACAACAGGAGGACAGTGCTACAGTGCTACCCAAAGACAGTAGAAACAAGAGCCAGAAGGATTGGTCCATGGTTGAAAGCCTGCCTCCAGGGCTGGGGGACAAGGAAGCTGGGGCAGAGAAGGGACCATTATGACAAAGATGGTTAGAAGGGATCTTCCGGATGGGAGATGTGTGCTGAAAGTGGGTAAAGGATCAAACATGATGACCTCTCAGTATCTGTATTGCAAACCACAATGCCCAAAAGAAGAGAAAGAAGAAAAGTAGCACCTACTTCCCCAAGCCCCCAGTGGGTGCCAGAAAGCTGTGACTAGCAGGCAGCGCAGTAGCAAGAGTTAAGGTGCCTGCCCTGCAGATACCCAAGCCTGACTCATCCCTAACACCGGGGGTGTAGCTCTGTTTGGGGCTCCCTCCTACTTCAGGCCTGGCCACACCCTGCATCCTCCACTGAACCACCAGCCTAGTTGCTTAGATTCTCTGGGCGTGGCTTCTGGACCCCCTGAGCACTGTCCCCTCACCTCCATAAACAAACCTGGGATACTAGTGAGCCTCTGTCTTTTGCCCATAGATGTGTGATTATTTACTTTAGCAAAGTGGGCACAGTTAGAGGAACAAACTAGCCAGTAATAAGCGGCTAGTGGCAGCACAATGCTAACGGTGTCCCAAACGCTGGCGACTGTCCTATTTCCCACCTTAACTGTGGACCACAAACTCCAGGAAAAACAAATTCGGGGCTGAGCAGAGGCTGTGATGCCGTTATTGGGGCCAGCTGAAATCCAGACATTCCCATCCCAGAGCCCCGAAAGGCAACTCAGAAGGCACACAAAGAGCAAGGAAAGCCCCCTCCTCCCAGGCACACCCCCGCCCCCGGGGGGGACCGTCCTGTGCGGTGGGGGGACAGAACCCAAGCAGGGCTGCCTTGGCTACTACCCCGGTCCCTCCGCCTCCACCGCCCAGCCGGGGCAGCAGACACGTTACGCGCTATCTCGCCCAGGGTGCTGATGATCATGGTCCTGTAGTCAGAGGGGGCGAACATGTGGCAGTAGCAGGGGCCCTGCGTCTCCTCCGAGTCCCCCACGGTCACCACCGGCTCCGACTCGGATTCGGTCCTCGAGCCGCACACCAGGTCCCGCTCCAGGAGCTCGGCGCTGGCCAGGATGACCCCATAGTAGGCGAAGGAGATGCCCAGCCTGCGAGCAAGAAGAGAGGGCGCTGGGCAAAGCTGTCCCCCAGCTTGGGAGGAGGGGATCAGGGTGTGGGCACAGAGGGAGAGAGAGAAGGGTCTGGGGGACATACAACAGCAGCCTGGGGATCAGAGGGTGGAGGACCCCGGGGGTGGGGGGATGGGGGGGCGGAGGCAGTGGAGAAGTTTGACCTTTGTGCCTGCCGTTAGCCCCCAAAGTGGCCCAAGGGTGTCCTGCTGGTCAGCTCCGTGGACTGGCCCTGGGTGTGAGCAGCCAGAACTTCCTCCAGCAAACAGGACCCTGGGTGCTCAGGCTGGCGTTGGCAGCTTCCCACAGCTTTCCTCCTTCTGGGCTTCAAAGCCCCCACAGGTGAGCCTCACTCAGCGACCCCCTCCCAGCATCGCGCTAACGTCCCAAACTTTGGGCTCCAGGAGGAGAAAAGCTTGGAAGGCCGCTGAGATTAGATTGGGCCCATCTGCCCCTCCGTCTGCGAAGGCTGCAGGCTTGCGTATTTCATATATAAACTCCGCAAAGGGTATGCCTTTAGTTCTCCTCCAGACCCACCTATGTCTCTCTGTCTCTCCTCTGTCTCTCTGTCTCTGTCTCTCTCTCTTGATGTGACCATTATATGAAGGGTAATTTGGGGTTTGTTGTTTTTTATTTTATTTATTTATTTATTTTTGGCTCTTTGGGTCACACCCAGCGATTCTCAGGGGTTTCTCCTGGCTCTGCACTCAAGAATGACTCCTGATGGTCCTAGGGGGACCGTAGTGGATGCTGGGGATTGAACTTGGATAGGCTGCGTCTGCAAGGCAAATGCCCTCCCCACTGTACTATCACTCTGGCCCCAGGTGTTTTTTGTTTGCTTGTTTGTTTGTTTGTTTTTAAAGTGTCAGTAACACTAGGGGGACGTACAAGGGTTTAGGCATTTGCCTTATAGGCAGTTAGCCCTGGTTTGATCCCTTACGTCCATATGGTAACTCAAGCACTGCTAGAGGTGATCCCTGAGCACAGATCCAAGAGGAAGCACTGAGCATCACTGAACGTGGCTACATTTTTTTTTCAATTGTGCCAGTATTTCTGGGGGGGAATATAACTGGGTGTAGCAATTACTCTGTGCCATATGGTAATTGCATCTTTTACTGGACACAGGCTCCTCAATGAGCGTCTTGTGGAATTACCCTGACTGAGGGGGCAGCCTAGGGCCCCCCTTAGAATTCTGCCTTCCAAAGCAACTTCTGTCGGCTGTGCAGAGCCATGGAGGGGGGCCTCTAGTTGTGTGTTTTCTCTCATCTCCGTTCTTTGGTACCTGTTTATATTGAGACATGAAAACGGCACATAGAAAGGTTCACATATCAAAGGCGTGTAAAGCCTTGATCAGGCCACCCGAAGCCCTCAGCCACCTCTTATTTTCACAGAAATGGTTGTAAAAACCAACTAGGAAAGACATGTGACAACAACCAGGGACTCCTGGGCTGGTGTGGTTGGGATTTAAGTGATGGTTGTTTATTATGGGGGTACAGGATGAGTTTGGAGCTGGCTAAGGTTATCTGAGGCACTTGCCTTGCACACAGCCAACCCCGGTCCGGTCCCTGACCCTAGATTCTAGATCCAATCTCAGACACTGTGTATGATCCCCCAAACACTTTCAGGAGTGACCCCTCTGAGCACAGAGTCAGGAGCCTGAGTGCCACTGTGGCCCAAGTTTCTCCCCCACTCACACACCTCCCTCCCCCAAATTAAAAAAAAGGAAGGAAAGTAATTGTCTCCAAGCATCTGAGGCTTGAAACAGGCATCCAGGGGTGGGATGGAATTGAAACTGGGTCTTGTTTGAAAGCACCTCAGCGCAGTATCGATCTCAGATCTGAGCCACTCAGATGTTCACCATGGTCTTACTCTACTGCCCCCTCAGTCGGGTAATTCCACAAAATGCTGATAGAGGAGCCTGTGTCCAATATAAGATGCAATTACCATATGTCACAGAATAATTGCCACACCTAGTTATATCCCCCCAGAAATACTGGCACAATTAAAAAAAAATACCAAAAGCAAAAAAAAAAAATTGTAGCTCACATTCAGTAATGCTTAGTGCTTCCTCTTAGATCTGTGCTCAGGGATCACATCTGGCATGTACAATTCAAAACATTCATAGCGAAATACCAAAAGCAAACAAAAAAATCAAAAATGCATTTCCTAGTTATTAAAGTCATTTCAAATTGGAGCAATAGCACAGCGGTAGGGCATTTGCCTTGCACGCAGCCAGCCTGGCCGAGCTGGGTTCGATTCCTCCACTCCTCTTGGAGAGCCCAGCAAGCTACCTAGAGTATCTCGCCCGCACAGCAAAGCCTGGCAAGCTCCCGGTGACGTATTCAATATGCCAAACAGAGTAACAACAAGTCTCACAATGGAGACGTTACTGAGCCCGCTCGAGCAAATCGATGAACAATGGGAGGACAGTGACAGTAAATTTTCAGATTTCAAGAGTATTAAAGCATTTGAAAATCTCAAGAGGATATCTGCCAGCCTATTAACAGTGATGAGAAAGCTGGGAGGTGGTTGAGTTGCAGAGCACATGCCCGGCACGTGTGAGCCCTGAATTGGATCCCAGACACATAAACACACATACACACACACAAAATCACATATACAATCACACATACACATACACACACACACACACACACACACACACGATGATTATATCTCGAAAAAAGACAAGTCTTTTCCTGGATTCAAGCACTACAAGTCAGAACACTCTCACTTGGTCTCGTCTCTCTCTGTCTTCATGTAAATGGGCTCACATCATAGGCATGCCTGGCTTTCCTAGCTCATTATTTAATTGGTAAAATAGTGGCACTGAGTAGAGGGCCCGGGCTCCCTTGTTTTCATCACTGGAGAGGATTTCCTGGTGCTAAAGTTTCACAACCCGTGTGCTGTTGATCCACTTGTGGCTTTGTTGTTTGGGGCTGACACAAATAAATTAACGCTATGAGCACTCGGTGAAGGTTTTCGGGGAAACATGGTGCTGAGTCCTAAGTACCATGTGCAAGAATCAGAAGTGGAACCTTCTTCCTGCTCACCACGGTCCTTGGACAGATTTGCACTGTGCCCAGAAGCATATCCCAAAGACTGTCCCTCCAATGGCCTGCCTGATCCAGTCAGGATGCCAGCTTAGCCCTTGTGTGGATTTGTAATGGAAACTGGTTTGGTTTTACTTGGTGTTGCCCTGGTGATTTTAAGGTTGAACATGTCTTCAGAAGTTTGAGACACATTATTTTCTTTTTTCTTTTTTTTTGGGGGGGGGGGGGTGGGGGGGAGAAAAGGGAGATTTGGATCACACCCACAGTGCCCAGGGTGTACTCCTGGCTCTGTGTTCAGGGGTAACATATTTTGGGGTAAAGCACAGCTCTTGCCTTCTCTTGTGGGTTTTGTGTGACTCTGCTGTACAGTTACCAATAAAATGTCTTCTCCTGGGGCTGGTTCTCTTTCAGATTCTTCCTGTCTTATGGCACAGAGAGTTTCATTTAATAGAGTCCATCTTTTCATTGTAATTAGCATTTTTTGTATCTTTTAGAAATCTTGGCTACAAAAAGCATATGAAAAAATGCTCTACATCACTAATCATCAGGGACATGCAAATCAAAACAACAATGAGATGTCATCTCATTCCACAGAGACTGGCACATATTCAAAAGTGTTGGCACAGATGCGGAGAGAAAGGGAATCTCATTCATTGTTTGTGGGAATGTTGACAGCTTCCGCCTTTTTGGAGAACAATATTCCTCAAAAAAACTAGAAGTTGGGCTCCTATTTGGCCCAGCAATGCCACTTCTGGGAATATATCCTGGGGGCTTAAAACACACAGCCGAAATGCCATCTGCACTTCTATGTTCATTGCAGCACTATTCACAATAGCCAGAATCTGGAAACAACCCAAGTCCCTGAGAACAGATAATTGGATAAATAAACTATGGTATACTACACAGCTGTTTGGAAAAATGAAGTCACAAAATTTGCTTTTAAGTGGATGGACATGGAGAGTATCATGCTGAGTGAAATGAGTCAGAAGGAGAGGGATAGATTATAGAATAACTGCACTCATTTGTGGGATTAACAAAAAATAGTACGAGACTAATGTCCAAGGCTAGGAAAAACAGGGGCCAGGAGAATTGGTCAATGGTTGGAAGCTTGTCACAAGTGTGTGTGTGTTGCGGGGTGGGGGGTGGGGGGTGTGTGCAAAGGACAGTTAAGATAGAGAAGGAACCAGTATGACTAATAGTTAGAAATGATCACTCTTGACAAGAGTGTTGAAAGTAGGTAAAGGGATATAAACTTTCAGTATCTGTATTGCAAGCTATAATGTCCAAAAGGAAAGAGAGAGAGTCACACACACACACACACACACACACACACACACACACACACACACACAGAGAGAGAGAGAGAGAGAGAGGTGCATGTGATGCGTGCCTGCTATAAGGTTTGCTCAGGAGTGAATGACCGCTGGCAGATAAAATAATGACGTTCCCAGAATCAACCATCACCCTGTTCCCAGGACTTCTGGCCCACCTGGTGACAGGAAGTCACCGGGCTCCATGCTTCCTCATATCTATCCCCTACAAATAACAGGCCAGATCAAGCGCACCGGTTTCATTGGTCTTTGTTCCGTTCTCTCCTTTTCCCACCCAAAACAACTTAAAAAGCCCCCTCTGCCTCTTCCAGGGCTGGCTCACCCAAGGTTCATAGAGTTCCATCCAGGAGTGCCCCCCAATAAACTTCTCCTATTTCCTTCATTTTTACTTGTCTCTGTCCGTGCCGGCTAAGGTCAGCAATCTATCACCTAGTGACATTGGGGTGGGAAGTGTACTACACTTGGATGAAGGGATGGGTGTTGAAACATTATATAACTGAAACCCAGTCATGAACAACCTTGTAACTGTAAAGACTGCCAAAGTCAGTTTGCTTGAATTTCAGTGTTGGTGATTTTCAAGATCAGATTCTGTCATGTGGTGAAAAGGACAAGGAGAGCTCATATAAAAATATGAAGAATAATAAGCCTGGAGCAATAGTTCAGCAGGTAAGAGCCTGTCTTGCCTTGCAAATGGTCCCCTGAACCCCACTAGGAGTGATTCCTGAGTTCAGGGGCAGGAGAAAGCCCTGAATATCTCTGAGTGAGCACCCCCCCACCAATAAAAAGTAGAACATAAAAAAAATAAATGACCACAGAGGGGCTGAGACATCGCCCAGTGGCAGAGCACACGCCTTTCCTGTGGAGAAGCTGAGTTTTATCCCCAGCAACTCAGATGGGAAGATTATAAACTTTTTTTCTTTTAAAAGCACTGTCCTCCCGTTGTTCATCGATTTGCTCAAGCGGGCACCAGTAATGTCTCCTTTGTGAGACTCATTGTTACTGTTTTTGGCATATCAAACATGCCACAGGGAGTTTGCCAGGCTCTGCCATGCAGGCAGGATACTCTCAGTAGCTTGCTGGGCTCTCCGAGAGGGACATAGGAATCGAACCCGGGTCAGTTGCATGCAAGGCAAACATCCTACCCGCTGTGCTATCACTCCAGTCTTTTAATCTTCTGGTAAGATTAAAAAGGAAAAAAGAAAAATTCATTTTAGAAGGAGTCAATTCTTACCAAATGAGCCAGATCTGCAGTGTTGTTCTTAAATACTTTGGATCCAAGAGATCCTTGAATCTTCCTCGCTTGTCCTGGATGTGTAAAGGAAAAGCAGACTCCATTTAGTGGCTGAAAGATGAACATAAAGCATCTCTAATGTGTTAGCGTAGAGAAAACCAGAGTAGTATAGGTTCGGTTCCCATGAGGACCACTCCGCCAAACCCACAGATCACTGTTTTGCTGTTGTTGTTGTTGTTGTTGGGAGGGGTTGGACCACACCTGGACATGATCAGGGTTACTCCTTGCTCTGTACTCATGGATCACTCCTGGTGGGGCTCAGAGAACCAGGCAGTGCTGGGATCAAGGCAAATGCTTTAACTCCTGTACTATCTCTCCAAGTCGTGACTGGTTTCGGGTTAAGACAGCACAACTGGGGGGTAAGTAAGCAAAAGGGCATTACATCAGCATCCCTCCCACCTTAGTGCCAGGAAGGTGAAAGCTGCAGAAGCAGGAAAAGGAAAAAGGGAAGCATGTTTTAAGAGTTTCTTCAGGAGGGACTGGAGCGATAGCACAACGGATAGGGCATTTGCCTCACATGCGGCCAACCCCGATTCAATTCCCAGCATCCCATATGGTCCCCCGAGCACCGCCAGGAATAATTCCTGAGTGCATGAGCCAGTAGTAACCCCTGTGCATCGCCAGGTGTGACCCAAAAAACAAAAAATTTTAAAAAAATTTAAAAAAGAGTTTCTTCAGGAAAAGGGAGAAGACCCAGGAATGATGGTAAGAGCACAGGTATCAGTGGGGGAGGGCTCAGCAATCCATTCAGATCAGCTCAAAGCAGAGAAGCAGAAGAGAAAGACCCAGCGAGATGAGGTCCAGCCTACAGGGTGTATGAGCTAGGGGGAATCATGTCCTCTACGGCCCACACCACCCACACCTGGGCCGGAGTGATAGCACAATGGGTAGAGCATTTGCCTTGCACACAGCCGACCCGGGTTTGATTCCTCCGTCCCTCTCCAAGAGCCCAGCAAACTACCAAGAGTATCTCTCTCTCATGGTAAAGCCTGGCAAACAACCCGTGACATACTCGATATGCCAAACACAGTAACAACAAGTCTCACAATGGAGACGTTACTGGTGCCTGCTCAAGCGAATCGATAAACAACGGGAGGACAATGGCTTCTATCTCTCCAGCAGCTCTGGACACACATTCCCCACGGCCTTTCTGACTTTTTATTATCAGGTCCCAGATTATTGAACTGCAGATTCTAAGCTACTTGCGCTTCTTCTCATGGTGCTGTTGGAGAGCAGGGGGCTGAGAGGAAATATGGATACACGAACAGTAACCATGAGAACTTTCTGCCTGCTGCTGCCCCACCAACCCAGGCAAGGCTGAACTCCAGCTGGCATCACTGGGCCTATTCTGGACAGGAGTCAGAGCCCCTCCATATCCAGAAGGTCCCAGCAGCCTCCACACCAGACCTACACCATATTAAGACCCCACACCACTGCTCCTTCCTGACCTGCTTACCATCCCAGTGTCTTCCAGGAGGGTCACCACTCACAGAAAAAAAAAAATACTTGAAAAAAAACCACATAGGAGTCCACCAAGTTCAATAAGAGAAAATATATATCACCAAAGACATACATAACACCAAGCAGCTCAATAAATTCTCAATGTCTTTAGTGACACCATGATGAAGGTGATCAATGAGCTCAAAGAAACAATAGTACAGGTAGTCAGCAAAGCACAAGGAAGCTTGAGTTGAAATGAAAGAAACTAAAATTAGAAATTACAGAAATGAAGAGCATGGTAGGATGTGTGTGTGTGTGTGTGTGTGTGTGTGTGTACACACACACATACACGCCTCGGAGCTTTTTGGAAAGCCAGGTATGAGCCGGTCATGGTGACGGGGCAACTGAAACCTCATGGGAAGGGGGGTGTTCCCGGCTCGTCCTTCACGCCCTACCGAGGTCTCACAAGTTGCCCCCCACGAGCAGCTCTCTGGCACAGCCATGGCTCCAGAAGCACAAGAACTTAATGCAGAGCCCAGCAGCTTGTGGCAGAAAAGTGAATGGACTATGTGTTAATCCACACCACCATGCCTGCCCAGGAGGGAAAGGGTGTTGCTCCTTTCCGCCTTTTTCCCTCTGGACAGCAAGATGGTGGCTTCCTCAGAGCTTTCTGGAAAGTCAGGTATGGGCCGGTCGTGATGGGGGAACTGAAACCTCATGGCAAGGGGGGGGGGGGCGTTTCTGGCTCGTCCTTCATGCCCTACCAAGGTCAGAAGTTGCCCCCCACGAGCGGCTCTCCAGCACGGCCATGGCTCCAGAGTCACAGAAACCAATCTCATAATTATCTGACTCTCGGCAGAAATACTTCTAGGCTTAATAAGTAAAATATCAGAAATCCAAAATCATTTGGTTCTAGTAGAAAACCAGCTGTAGAAAACAAATTATTTCACAATGCCTTTTCAGCAGGTCTGATTTTGGGGTGTAAACTCTAAACAATAATGGTGCATCTTTTGTCGAAACAATGAATCTAATCAAAGTAGGTAGAGTGTTAACTTGAATTCATCTGCCTCACAGGCATTGGGAGGGTTGTGGGGGGGGGATGGTTATTGGGGTTCTTGGTGGTGAAAAATAACTACTGGTGATGGGAAATGTGTTTGATGATTGCATGACCGAGACTTAAACCTGAAAGCTTTGTAACTTTTCCCACAGTGATTCAATAAATAAATTTAAAAAATAAATAAAAAAAGAAAAAAATAGTTAAAAACAATTATCAATAAGAACTTCCCAGAGTTGAGGATTACAGGCACTGAGATCCAAGAGGCCCAAAGGGTCCCAGTGAAAATAGACCCGATTATGAGACTCACAAATGAATCTCAGAAGAGAACAGCATACTGCAGAGATATCTCCCCACCCCATGCCAGGCTGATTTCACTGGGGCACCTCGGAGGAGGGCAGGCGTGTTCATCATTTGGCAGCTCAAATGAACCCTGGCAGCCACAAACCTCCAGAACTCAACTGCCGCCACACTCACCGCTAGCTTTACAGGCTCCTCCAGAGCCCCTCACACATGAGAATGAACCTGCTGAAAAACCCAGGTATTGTGATTGACAACTCCAGGCTTCACTGAGCTGGGAATGGAGGACCTCCCCCATTTCCCCGCCCTTCCAGTTTCCTGGGAGTCACACCCAGGAACCACCTCTGGGAGCCATTTAAGCCCATTAACAGCCATGATTCAGAAGACTCATCAATGAATCTCGGAAGAGAGCAGCATGCCTCAGAAATGCCTCTGGACCCTAGTTATTCACAATTGTAGAATTCCAGAAGTGTGTGACCATGCAACATCTCACAGTATTCATAACAAGCAATACAAAATAAATTATTTACCCTCTGCCTGTGGGGCAGACTTGGATGATGGTGGAAAAATTTGAAATAATGGTGGTGGGAAGGTGTAATGGTGGTGGGATTGGTGATGAAATATTGAATGTAATCAATTATTGTGAACAACTTCATGAAAATAAAATTGAAAAAAAATTTTTAAAAGAAAGAAAATAGACCCTATTAGAGAAACCCCATGACACACTGTACTCAAACTGACAAAGTCCAAAGATGGAGAGAGAATATTGAAAGCAGCAAAAATGGATCTTATATACAAAGGAAAGCCCATTAGATATATATAGCAGATCTCTAAAATGAAACTCTATGAGCCAGAAGAATAGAGAAGGATAAGGGATAAAATACAGAAACTCAATGAAATGAACACTTCACCAAGAATACGCTATCCAACTAGATTATCATTCAGATTTCAGATTTGAAGAAGCAGGCAATAGCTTAGGGAATTTATAGCCTTGAAACCAATTTTGCAAGAAACATTAAAAAATCTCCTTTGAAAGGAAAGGAGAAACTTCCCATCATATGGCATTGAGTATGGGCTTACTAATGTGCATATGACTGTCCTCTACTAGATTAAGAAAAGTTAAAAACATGCAGCAATCAGTCATCACAAATTGGCCTTTAATGATTTATTTCCTGGTAACCCTGCTTACCATTCCTTTAAGATTAATTGGAGCAAGTAAGATGAAATAAACTTGTTATATGCCTAACAAGGGGGCAGGTGGGGGGTGGGAGGAAACCTGGGGACATTGGTGGAGGGATTGGTGTTGAAACATAGGATACCTGAAACAACTCTATTATGAACAACTTTGTAAATCACGGTGTCTTAATAAAACATTTTTAACGAAAAAAATAAAATTTAACCATGAAACAGAGAGACCTCAAACACTTTCAGGAAACGAAAAGGCTGGCAGTGAAAGAGGAGTATTGAAAACACAACACAGGGCCAAGGCGATAGTACAGCAGGGAGGGCATTTGTTTTGCACATGGCCAATCAGGGTTCAATCCCCAGCATCTCATATGGTTCCCCAAGCACCTCCACGAGTAATTCCTGAGTGCAGAGCCAGGAGGAACCCCTGAGCATCGCCGGGTGTGACCCAAAAAGCAAAAAAGAAAGAAAATACAGTACAGTCATGACCCCTGTCTACAGTCAAGGCCTCTCAAGTATTGCGGATAAAGAGAATAAAGGTGACAGTCAGTGATGACTTTTTATAGAAACCGGAAATGCTCTGGATAGAGCCCAGCAGAAAACCCACCCCACCTCCTCCCCCCACCCAGAGCCAGGATGCAGGGGAAGTGCCTGTAAGCAGGGGCTGAGGTGTGTGTGTGTGTGTGTGTGTGTGTGTGTGTGTGTGTGTGTGTGTGGTGCGGGTGTGTTGGGGGGCGGGGGGGAACACACAGAAACGGGCTCTTTGCTGCCGTACCTCAGCTCAGCTCCTGGGTCGCCATGAGGGGATGGGGGCCGGGTGTGGAACAAGAGCCACTTTGCTGTCATCTGCTTTACCTGTGGGGACTTCGGGGGGGCCCATCCCTGGAAAACCTCCCATCTAGTGGGAGCCTCCATTTTCCAGCACAAGGTTTGTGGTGCAGAGAGGCTCAGCAATTTGCCCCAGGTCACAGAGCGATGAAGGCAGCGCCAGCCTGGAGTCCAGGCCTCCAGATCAGCCTCCATCTGTCTGCTGTG